ACACGTAACAAATTACTCAAACCACACAAAGTAACATGAGTAATTTTGATGTGAGAGGAGTGAAAACATCTTACTTAAAATATGGTTGAACCTCTTCACAATTTTGAAGAACATATAATTCGACAAAGCATCATAGTCTCTTTGGTGCGAGAAAATATGTTTGAGATTTTCCAATTGGTCTTCCTGGTAGTTGAAAATTGAAATAGGAGGAGGGGATGAAGAACCTTCACCTACATGAACATTTCTAGGAATCCTAGTCCTTCTTGTTTCAACATGATCAGGATAATAAAATGAGGCAAATGTAGATGTTTCTTCCACCAAGTAAGCTTCACAAATAGAGCCCTCCACCCTAGCTTTATTCTTCACTTTCTTTTTTAAGGAGTGTAAGAATCTAAAAAAGAATACAAAAATGGAGTCTTTAAAGAATATATAAAATACTTTAGAAATGGAGGGTGAGTAGTTAGTGTAAAGATACCTCTCAAAAGGATACATCCAACGATATTGAACTGGACCACCAACCTTTGCCTCATAAGGTAGATGAATTGGAAGATGTTCCAATGAATCAAAGAAGCTTGGTGGGAATATTTGTTCCAATTTACACAATAAGACAGGTATATTTTCTTCCATAACTCGTAAGTGTTCAATATTTAGTGTTGTGGAAGTCAATTCTCTAAAGAAAAGACTAAGTTCAACTAGTACTTTCCAAATTAATTTTGGCAACGAATCAAACGCAATTGGAAGTAATCGTTGCATGAACACATGACAATCATGACTTTTCATACCATGTAACTTTCCTTGATTCAAGTCGACACATCTACCCAAATTGGAAGCATATCCATCTGGCAATTTAAGTTCTTTAACCCACTTACAAATAGAGAGTCTTTGGGATTGGTGAAAGCATATGCTGCCTTTGGTTTGATAAGTTTTCCACGTCCAATGTCTTTCAATTCTAGCTCTTTTCGATTACATATTTCAGCTACATCCAATCGAGCCTTGTTTGTATCCTTAGTTTTGCCTTTGATATCCATGACAGTGTCAAACACATTCATGAACACATTTCTTTCTGTGTGCATAACATCAATATTATGACGTAAAAGTTGGGTTTTCCAATAAGGCAACCTCCAAAAAATACTTTGTTTCTTCCAATTATGTGTAATACCATATCCTCGCAATATTGTCTACTTGTTGTAATTCATAGCAAACTGGTAAGTGTGCCACCCTATTCCAGACATCAAGACTAGATAAACGTGGAGGAGGGGGACCAATCTCAACAACATTCTTCTTGAATGTCTTTTTATTCCTCCTAAATGGATGGTCTTGTGAAAGAAATTGACGGTGACAATCAAAATAGGAGATCTTGTGGCTATGACTAAGAGAAAATGTCTTTGTTCTTTCCATACATATAGGACAAGCAAGTCTACCAACGAATCGTCCAACTCGATAACATGCCATAAGTCGGGAAGTCATTAATTGTCCACATCAAAGCAGACTTTCATATAAAATTTTGCCTCAATGACACATCATAAGTCAATATCCCTTCATTCCATAAGGTGCACAAATCATCTATAAGTGGTTGCAAGAATACATCAATCTTATGCTTTGGATTTGAAGGACCTGGAATTAAAATTGTCAAAAACATAAATTCTCTCTTCATCCACATGGTAGGTGGAAGATTGTATGGAGTTAGGATAATCGGCCAACAAGAATAACTTTTGCCATACTCGACCAAAAGGATTAAACCCATCAAGCACATAACCCTAATCCGACATTTCTTGGGTCTTGACTAAACTCTGCGTGAAGAGTGTCAAAGTGCTTCCAAGCTTCCCCATCCGATGGATGACACATAATATTGGGGTCCTTTTCATTCTCGCTATGCCATCTCATGTGAGGTGCAATGGCCATTGAAGAGTATAACCTTTTGAGTCTAGGAATAATTGGAAAGTACCACATTTTTTTAATAGAAATCTTTTTCTCAACTCCCTCCTAGTGATAATCTTGTATCGATCCATTCCGCATATCAAACAATTAGTTATATTTTTAGATGAATTTTCATTATAATACAACGTGCATCCGTTTGGACAACAATCAATTTTGAGACAACCCAAACCCAATTTTATCACTGACTTCTTAGCTTGGTTAAAATTCGTAGCCATTCGATGATCTTCTAGCATAGTCTCTCCCATAAATTGGACCATTCTATTAAAACATCCTTCAGCCATATTATAATCGGATTTCAAGCTTAGAGCTTCCAAAGATGCTCGACAATTCGGAGTGATGTGTACATCCTTCCCACAATGGTGCTTGCGCAGCTAGCAAGCATGTCAAAGAATTTTTGAGTATCAGGGTTTTCTGCCATGTCCTCTTCTCTAATTTCACTCTCGGTTTGAAGTTGGTATCCAAGTGACGGTCTGACATGATCCATAATCATTTGATGGAAAGGACATAATTCTTCCCTTTGTTGAAAAGTTCCATGTGATCTCTCAACAACCACTGCAGGAAATTCCGGTGACTCTTCACCGTGGTTTGTCCACCAATAATAATTAGGCATTAATCCCTCTTGATAAAGATCCCATGCAACTTGATCAACAAACTTGAAAACTTTACACTTACATTTAACACAAGGACATCTTAACATTTCACCTTGTTCTTGAAACATAGGTTGAGCAATAACATATTGTAGGAAATTATACACTCCTTCTCTAAATTCATCTGTTAGATGTTTGTTACCATCCAATCTTTGATACATCCACATTCTACCAACGGGGATCTCCATTCTTGCAAACTAACCACAACAATCAGCATAAGTGAAACTGCATTATTCACTTTATGTGATGCACTACTTATGTTTTTCTATTCTTGCAAATTAACTACAACGACGATAAGTGAAACTGCATTATTCACTTTATGTGATGCACTTACTTATGTTTTTCTATTCTTGCAAATTAACTACAACAATCAAGCATAAGTGAAACTGCATTATTCACTTTATGTGATGCACTACTTATGTTTTTCTATTCTTGCAAATTAACTACAACAATCAACATAAGTGAAACTGCATTATTCACTTTATGTGATGCACTACTTATGTTTTTTCTATTCTTGCAAATTAACTACAACAATCAGCATAAGTGAAACTGCATTATTCACTTCATGTGATGCAGATACTTACGTTTTTCTAATACATTATTTCCAAGGTATTTATCCACTACTTATGCAGTACATATGATACAGACCAACAAATAATTGTGTAAGTAAACCCAATAATTATGAAATTTCTTTTCACTAAGATCCAACGAGATAATTAAAACAAATTACAAATGGTTAACCCGAGGGCGTACAGTCTCAACAAGTTCCCAAATTGGTCCGTCAAGCACCACCAAATTCGCGAGTAAGAGGGATCGAAGAACCTATCTACTTCACAAATCCACCTACAACAAACGATAAAGAAATTCTGTCAAATATCTCTCCTATATTATTCACAATGCAAGAGAATAACAATATATACATTCAAACAAGCCAAACCTTGGTTGAATATACATTCAAGCACATGTTTTACATATATTCTGAAGGTCGTTTCGGTGGCAGGGGCTGCGGAGGAGGTTAAGAACAGAGGTGTGGCGTGGTGGCTCACAGGGTGGCGTCCGGTTGACGAGGAGCTTTGGTGGAGGTTGGATTAGGGTCAGGGCTGACTTGGGGGGAGCAGTGAGGGGGCTAGGGCTCGCCGGGAGTGAGGAGGAGATACTGGCCGTGGGATTTGCAAGGTTAAGAGGAATGGGTGAGTGAGGCGCGAGAGTTAGGGTTATTTGGGGATAAGTGGTGCGAGTGGGATGTATACGAAAATGAAAAATGTGGTTATATATGATAGCGGTTCCACTGGAACCGCTCTTAAAGTTAACATCTAATAGCGGTTAAACCTTAACCGCTATTATATATTTTCAAATATGATCGATCATTTGAAAATGTAATCGATCATAATAAAAAAATGTGGTTGTATATGATAGCGGTTCCACTGGAACCGCTCTTAAAAGAGCACTTCTAATAGCGGTTAAACCTTAACTGCTATCTAACTATATTTTATTTATTTATTGATACATTTTTTCATCAGATATCGCTCGAGCGAGACCAGTGTCGTTCAAGCGAAATACAACCCGAGAATGCCAATTTTGTGCAGGGGGCGTTTCGCTCGAGCGAGACTAGTGTCGCTCAAGCGAAATACAACCCGAGAATGTCATTTTTGTGCAGGGGGCGTTTCACTCGAGCGAGACAAGTGTCGCTCAAGCGAAATACAACTCGAGAATGTCACTTTTGTGCGAGGGCGTTTCGCTCGAGCGAGACAAGTGTCGCTCAAGCAAAATACAACCCGAGAATGCCACTTTTAAAGTATATTTTAAAAATTAAATTATTTTTAAAAAATAAATTACTTTTAAAAAATAAATTGTAAAAAATATACTAAAACAATTAAAGTATATTTATAAAAAAATAAATTTAAATATAATAAAAAAATAATATTCATTAGCGACCAATTTCAATTCGGTCGCTATTTTCTCATTAGCGATCGATTTTAATTCGGTCACTATTTCAATTTGTATTTCGGTCGCTAAATCGGTCGCTAAATGATTTTTTTATTTTAGTATAAAATAGTCACCGATTTAGCGACCGAAATTTTGCGACGCCAAATTTTGGTCGCTATTTCGGTCGCTAATTGCGACTGAATTAAAGTGTTCGCTGAATCGGTCGCTAATTGCGACCGAATTAAAGTGGTCATCGAATCGGTCGCTAATTGCGACCAAAATTAAATCGATCGCTAATTTCGGTGGCTAAATGTGTTTTTTCTTGTAGTGAAGATATTATAAAAGCTTGTAAATAACCCTTAAAATATTATACCAATTACAAATATAAATAACCAAAATAATTTTATACATTCAATCTTCAAACTTTTGATGATATATAGCATATTACATAACCTTAATATATTACTTAACCTTAATGTTGTTTCACCCTTAGGATCTACCTCCATGGTAACCTTCATCAACAATTTCATTGCCTGTACACAATCAAAGTTGTATATTAGCTTCCTATGCGCTATTGTACATTAAACAAGTATTAATGCATATATAAATAACTATCAGTTTTAAGAAAACTAAATGCAAAATACAATGACAAAATATAAAATATGGAAAGCAAGTGGACTTATAGTCTTACAAATTTCAGTTGCATCAATAAATAATCAGATATTACAAATGTGTAGTTTTAGTTATAGCAATTAACTTTGTCAAATATGATTCTTGTCTGTTTATTTAATCTCAAGTTTGAAATAGACTTTTTTAACCAATCAAATATTGATATTAAACATCCATGAACGTGACATAAAACACAATCACACATTTTGCATTTACTTCAATGCATAATTTGCACAATTAAAATAAAAAGACAATTAATCTAAAATAAATAACATGTAACCTGTGACAAAAAAAGGAATAGGCACCACCGCGAAGAATAGAACAAAGACACAGAAAATGCAGGCCACGAGGTTTGTGGTGAGATCAGTGGGAGATGTGACCGTCATAGAGAAGTAGAAATTGATTATAAGGAGCCATGTTGACGCATACAGTAGAAGCCATGCAACATTCTTAGGCAAAAGACCGATAATAGTGAGAGTGGATAGAACAAAGGCACACATATTCATGGTTGAAAACGCCACGAAGTTCTCGTTTGACATCACTGATTTCCCTTCATAAATTTTTGATGAATTTGATGCCACATGACCGTGAATGAGAGTGTTATTAGTCCCAGCTGCATCAATCTGATGAAGTCCACCAGGTGGACTCAGTGCTGCATGATAAGTGGCGGTTGCAACAAGAGTAGCCACCACCAAGTACGCGCTGCGCATCTCCTTCGACATGTTCTGTCTCATACCAGTTTTTCGAATTAGCCCCTCATTCATTGATAAGATTAACGAACGTAGTGTCTTAATCTTCCTAGCACTTTCTTCAGCCCTCCCCAGTTTCTTCTTCATTTCTGCATTGTCTGTTATGTCTAATGCTCTTTGGCCCTGCAAGTTCTTGGCATCTACATCCATCCTCCTAACCTTCATCAACAATTTCATTGCCTGTACAATCTCAAGATTGTTCACAATATGAAAATTGATTTTTCGCATTGTTGGAGATTCATATATGACCAAATTATAAATTACACTTAACTCTCTTTATCTATCTCGTTGTGACTTTTTAATACCCTGACATGAAATCAATACTAAATTCATAGAGATAGATACCTCCGTGTCATTGTTGGATGCTGCAATGTGTAAAATGGTGTTGCCCTCCTCGTCTTTCTGGTTCAGGATGGGTTCCATCTCAACAGTATTTGTCTGAAGCCATCTAATTAAGAACTTAAGAGCCTCCATTTGGTTATTTCTGACGGCAGAATGCAGTGCAGTCTCACTTCGAACAGTCAAATCTTTAACGGAATCTGGACAAGCTTTGAGAAACTTAGTTAAAAGGTCTATTTCTCCGGATTGACTTGCCATATGCAGAAGAGTGAGACCTTCTCTCATTTTGGCTCGAACCAGTTCTTTGTCCATGTCTATGAGACGAAGGACCATTGTGGTGTGGTCACGCTGTAGAGCAAGGTGGATGGGTCTGAGTCCTTGGGGATTGAGTTTCCAAGCAAATGAAGGTTTTAATGTCATGATCTCGATGCCAAACTCAACATGCCCTAAACGTGCAGCAACATGCAAGGGAGTTTCAACAAATGGTATTGAATCTATATCTTCTAAAACACGTGGATTCACCTCAATCATTCTGTAAAGACTAGCTATGCGTCCCTCTCGAGCTGCAGCCTCCATGGTTTTTTTTGGGGTGTTTCTTGGCTTTCTCAAAGAATTGTGTGTATGTTTGACTTATGAAAGAAGACTATGTGTTGGAATCTTTTTTATTAATATGTGAGGAAACAAGTTGCTATTACAAAGGAAAAAAAAATTGGGTTGTTTTGTTAGGTGATGAGAAACTAGTAAATACTTTTTATTCTATTTGAGTTGAAAAAAAATGTTAGGTGACCTTTGTATATCAAAATATTTATTTATTATAAGTTTAAATATAGTATTACTTATCTATTTTAAATGCATTTATTCAGTATATATGTTAACTACATAAAATAAAATATATTATTCAATGATACAATTTATGTGCAACCTGTGCCTGGATGACGCGGCATTTTGTAGTTGAAAATGAAATGAGAAACGTTGACTTTTTAATTTACGTAATAGTTGAAGGACATGCAATTATAAGAAACAACTAATATTTAGACTTAGACTTATCACAACTCTTATGTAAAACAACTACAATCTTTATATTTGCCATATTTTAGTTATCTTTCACTTGTTTCACATTTTTTTCATCAAGAAATTATCTGAGAACAAAATTCATAGAAAAACAAAAGCCATCAACTTAAATTAAAAAAAAAAAAATAAGCATATATACACTAGTATAAAATAGATTTTTTTACGTTACCCAACTCTCGTTAAACTAAAAAATAACTAACTTAAAAAAAATACACTGATATTTTTACAAGTAAGAAACGTTACTTTTATGTCGAACCTCTTAAAAGTCATAAAAGCTTATTTTTATATCTAGTGACTCTCTAATAGACGTAAATAACAACTTTTAAGTTGGTCCCTATGAAGTTCAATGTAAAAGTAGCGTTTTAATCACTTAAAGACTTCTTTTTCTCTTCCGCACGTGAAGGTTTTAGACAGACTCCTTTTAAGGTACATTTCGACCACGATAAGTGATGAAAACACATACATTGTGTCCCATTTATGATGATTGACAATGTTTTTTTTTTCGATTAAATTCGAGTTTTAAAGCGTTTTTTTTATATTTAATGTTAGTATTTTATGTCTCTTCTTTTATGTTGAAATTGAATCCATAATTGTTTTTGGGATATCAATCACGTTATTACATAAATATTTGGAATGTTATTGAAATTGAACTATTGTAGTTTGTGATCATTCATTTATATGTTTAAGTGAATTTATGGTTTATACACTCGCATTTTTATGTTTTCGGTTTAGTTGTTTAAATCACATGTTTTTTGTTATTTGTATATTAATTACATAATAGTAATAAGTAAGTAAGAAAAAAATGATATGGTATGATATGAAGAGAATATTATTATGGTATATAGGGTTTAGGATTTTATGATGATAAAAATAAAATAGAAAAATGTTCGTAGAGGGATAAGTTTTGACTCCGATGTTGGATTTGGATGAACAAAATATGAAACAAAGGAAAAAAAAACGAAGAAGAGAGGGCAAATACCCAAAGGGGATTTGTCCCAACAAGTTTTGCAAAATATACTCCTAAGCACATGTAATAGACAAAAGTAGTGAAAAAGAGAAAAATGTTATATTCTTGTATTTAAATTTTGAAAATAATATTATGTTTTGTTTCTCAATTTAGTGTAATAAGCATGACTACTATATCATATATTGGATGAGAGTCATAGTTTATGCGGGTATAAGCTGATTCTTAGATAAAGATAATTGCTTTCAATATTTGTTAAGCTCATTTATCTTTATGCGTATTGAATGTTAATAGGAGTCAAATTAATATTTCAAGTATTTCAAGATTTATTCATCTATATGGTCAGAACATGATATTAAACGAAATAAAAAGTAATGAACAAAGTTTTTCATTCAACATTTTTAGTATTTAATAAATTATTGTTTGTATTGTATTGTATTATGCAGTTTAACATTTAGATAACTTAGTTTTTGTATTAGTTTAGTTTTATAATGTTTACCTTTAAGTAGTTAAATTTATGTATTAATTTAGTTTGTATAGTTTATATTATATTATTATATTTTTGAATTATTATTTATTAAAAACAAATAGAATATTAAGAAAAATAACGAAATTTATGTAGGATCAAAAGATAACCAACATAAATTTTCATGATGATAATATCTTGATTCGACATCAATTTATGTCTCCTGAATTCATGTTAGAATTGTATTTAACATAAAAAAAATCAAAATAATATATATAAAAGGCTTGGTAATAATAAGTTATGACTTTGAAACACATGGTAATAATATGAATGCATTATTGTACGATTGGTTAATAAATGATATTTGGAAGAAGATTGAATTATGTTAATCAAAACTAAAATATATTTCCCAATTTGATGATAAGAAATAATTATTTTTATAATATTTATAACTATCACTTTTTTTATAAATTAACAATATATTTTCGTTATAATTTTTTAACTTAATTTAGTTATTATTTATAACTTTATACAATCAATGGTTTTTACTTATTTTATATTTGTAAATATTATTTTTCATTTAGTAATTTTATAATTGTAATATATTATCTTTTTAGTTCATTGATGGAGAGCAGGTAGTTTTATAATTGTAATATATATTTTTTAATTGATTGATGGAGAAAAAAATAAAATAAAATAGATAAATAATAATATAAAACTCTAAAAATAAATGATTAAATGAATGTTTGGAAAAATTATACTGTAAATATATCATAACCCTTTTCAACGCGTAAATTCTACCTTCAAATATTGTGTTGTCGTGGATTTGATGAACTTCTTGAAGCGAAGTTAAAGTGGGACAGGGAAATGGCAGCGTGGCATTTCCTCAAACAGTTAACGTGCATAATTGGCGCTCATTCTCCCACCCTTTCCCGCCACCTCGTACACTACCCATCGGTTGTTCCCATTCTCTCCACCCATCACAAAATTGCAAGGTACCCATGGCGTCCCCATTTCCGTGTCAATCTTCGTGCCTCAGTTACGAATGCAATGTTTTCCGCAGCTTCTTCGTCCCCAACTCTATCGGACACGTCCTTGACTCCAACCGCTCCTTATACTTCCGTTGTGATTCACTGTCCTAAAGACACTGCAGTAAGCTTCTTTTAGTTTTACCTTGTTCCTTTTTCTCTTTTAAGTCAGTGCTTGAATAAAATCAGAGGAAAAATAAAATAAGTTTTTTACTTGCTTAATGTTCTTTTCCGTTTTCTGAAGCGTTTTTTTTTTTTTTTCTGAAAAATAAATAAAGGTTGTAATTTACCAGGACCTAATGGGCCATTTACTCTTTAGTTTATGGTTGTAATTTATTTTAATTATCCTTTTTATTTTCTTAATGCTGGACTGTTTAAGGAGAAATTTATTAAATAACACCCATGTCCTGAATCGGTGTTTGTTGTCATATTGAATAACTCTGCCTAGGTTGATGGTGCCGAAAGAAAATAGATACACTTGTTTAAAATTTAAGTTTAGTTTGTGGTTTAGACTAATATTTCTGATATTCGTGTTATTTGGGCGTGTTTTGTTATGATTATTTTCACACAGAACTTGGCCAATTTATAAGGTGTTAATGATGGTTTGCCACCAGTTAAACAGCCACCAAACTGGCAAAGGTGTTAATCTTTAGGTTTAGGAGAACAAAAGTTTTTTTTTTTACTGTATTCCTTCCACTAAACTGATATGAATGGTAATTTGGATAGGACTAGGGAGCTAGAGTGTATTTTTAAGCAACTGGAGTATGTGGTCTGTGTGGAAGGAAGTGTCTGCTACACTTCAATAACATGTTTATGTTAATTTTGAACATATTATTGCATAAAATGTTATGTTGCCAATATGTTTGACCACCCTTCCACTTTGTGCTGACAAGGACGTGCTTGCTGAAGCTCTTTTATGCTTTGGTGCAAGTTCAGTTAGCATGGATCAAGATGATGTCTCTCAAAGTACCGATGAGGTAAACTTGCTGATTTTTCTGTTTTACATTTTATTTCTTATTTTAATTTTTTTTCCTTATAATATTTGTTGTGTGCTTTTGTATCTTATCAAATTTGTTGTTTTATTTGTTTCAATTCCAACTAAATGGGGGTTATGTTCATGATTAGGAGTCTCATTAAGTTGGATAAAGTACTTGATGTGGTAATTCTCCTACCTAATGGACTAGTCATTTAGGCTAGACTTTCTTCTTGTGCTTAAGTCCACCAGATTGTGGTAAAGGTTTTTCCTTTTCCTATTAGAATATTAATTGAATTTGTAGGAAAGAATGACCGCACGCAATAAAATGTGGAATATATACCATATAATAATAATTTCTAATGCAGTCGATACTCTGCTTAAGCTCATGATTTTGATTTTGCAACTACGTCTTCCTGCTTCTAATCAGATTACCACCAATAAAGAAGCAATAACAAAGGTGGACCTCTTCTTGGTGGGAGAGCTTACCCTATCAGCATTTGAATATCCCACAACTTGAGCATGACTTTTGTCTTCATAGAATCGACCTTTCTTTGGGGCTCGGGTTGTATATTTCAGGATGTGAAATACCACATCCCGGTGTCTTGTACATAAGAGTCAAGAAACTGACCTACCATACTTACGGACAACGGAGATATTTAGAATGAGTGATAGTGAGATAATTTAGTTATCATATCTTCTACATCATTAAGGATTAGAAAATGATTCCCCCTGACTTAGCAAACGTTTAACATTCATTAGCCCTGTTTCCACTAAAATGTTTATCGCATAATTCTAAGAAATCAAAATACCACTTTTGAATTGTTATATCTATCCCCAAGATGAATTGTAGTCTTCCGAGGTCTTATGTGTGAAAATGATAACAAAGGTGCAACACCTAAGTAATACCATCATCACTACTTCTAATGACAACGTCATAATCAATAGCATACACCATCAAATAATGCATCTTGCATCTGATTGGTGATAGAAGACCGAGTGGTCAATCTTACTCCTAATCATACCAAAATCTAAACCCCAGCGCTAAATCTGAAAAGCCACGATTTGGGAATTGGTTGGGACCATATTCAGAATTCCAGTGAAGACAGAGATGTCATTGAGATTTCCCTGGACAAAAAATCTAGGAGATTGCTCCATATATACCTTTTCCTAAAGATCACCATAGAGAAAAAATATATTGGTTGTACAAAGGCCAATGGTAAAATCTGTGTAACCTGTATGACACCAGGAGGCCTGACCCAGTCAACTTTGCCATCATTTTCATTGTCAAAATCCAGCTGCAATCAACATGTTTTTCCAAAACAAGGTGTCCTAAGTTCCATTATTTCGATGAGCACACATCTCATCAATCATAACATGTCTCTAACCAGGTTGGTCCAAGGCTTCACCTTTAGTTTCAGTATCAAACAGAAAAGAGAAGGAACAAAGACAAACATAACAGGAAAGAGATAAGCAACGACAGTTCAAGTTAACTAAATGAGGAGATAGATTACAAATGGATCATATGATTTTATGAAGTGCAATGAGGAGATCAAGTTGGAGGTATTGGCGAAAGAGAGTCTACTAGTTAGCAGTGACAAAGGAGTATGGTTCTTATGTGTTGATGGTGATACACCTATAGAGGCTGGGTAAGGAATCTGCAGGGACAAGTCAAAATGACCAAATGCTTCAACTGTTAACTCAAGTCAAACACTAATTTTATCCTCAGCCAGTGGTAGAGGAAACATATGTTGAAGCATAATCGTTGACCATAGTATTTATAGCCCACAAGACTTACCTGTTAAAGAAGGAAGGCTAAATTTTGTTTTATGCCATCCTGTTAACGTGGGACAAAGAGGTAGAAGAATTTAGATGTGAAGGGAAAAAATATAAGGGTGGTAAACAAAAGCTAATAGATAATCTGAGATGATCAACTTGTAAATAAGTACAGGTCAATATAGAAAACCATAAGAATCATAACTGCACTAGTGCAATAATCCCCATCGAAAATTGATCTGTAACTTATTAAATTCAATTCATGATTTGTTTAAAACCACCCTACTTGATTGATATCCTATAATGTTATATGATCCATGTCTTAGAACTATTCATAAATATAAAATCCAAATCGTGCAAAATAATTAAATCTCTAATCATTCTAAAAATTATAATTTTCAGTTTGTCACTAGGCTGTTTCTCACTTGCTTATATCGATGTGATATTTCCTGCAGATTTGCATTAGTTCAATATTTCCTGAAGTTGAGGATATAAATGTGAGCATGTCACGTGCAGCTGATTCTATTGGTTTGAAGGAGATACCCAGATATGAAGTTAAAATTTATGAGGAGGACGACTGGATTAAGAGATCTCAGGTCAATCTTTTGTTCTTTCATTCAACTCTATTGTTGTGTGATTTTCTTGTCATGTTACTAAAACGTAATGCCCGGGCAGATTCCATTAAAGCTTAGTATATATTTATTGCGTAATTTCACATTTCTTCTGCCACCTACCTAGTAGATCTACTCCTATAAGATGAGATAACATGACTTCTTCGTAGTTTTTCATGAGAAAGGATGTCTTTCTTTGTTTTTTACTCTGAAATAGGGTGGAAGAACTTCTGTCTTCTTCAGTGTTTCTCAAAAAAAAAAAAAATTCTAACCATAGCGCACAAGGAAATATTCATAGCAGTATCCTGTGTGAACCAGAAACTGGTTTTCTGTGCAAAGTTATGATCCGTGTGAAGGAAAAGTATTGATGATATAAAAGACCTATCTCTGACTACTTATTACTAATTATTCATTTTTCTCAACCAGCACTATACTGTTTTTAATCCTTAACATTCTTATGTACAACGTGCTGTAACATGGGAAATCATTGACAATGATGAAAATTATCAAAAGATAGATTTGTTTTTGAAAATACATTGACAATTCAAGCTTACAGGAATCACTTCATCCAGTTCAAGTTACTGAAGGGCTATGGGTGGTGCCCCAGTGGTGTACTCCACTGGTACTTTCTTAAACTTTCTCTATCCATGGTGAATTGCTAACTTTTTATGATTGCATATTGCTTTCCATCTCTATTCATTTGTTTGTTTTGCAACTTCTCCTTGTTATATTTTTGCCCTCTTTAAATTAAATATTCCGAGTGATGGTGAAGCTGAAAACTGTAATGGATTATCTGCTAATCAATCCTGAATTTTTATACAGGATGTTCAAGCAATAAATATAATTGTAAATCCTGGACTAGCCTTTGGAACAGGGGAACACAGCACTACCAAACTCTGTCTATTACTCTTAAATGGTTGTATAAAAGGAGGGGAGCACATTCTTGACTATGGCACGGGAACTGGAATTCTTGCTATTGCAGCTCTCAAGGTAGTGGATTTTTACTCTATATAACTTAAGAACTGAACTAAAATGAAAAGAGTTCTTAAGGAGCAACATGCTCAGGATCAGAAGACGATCATATGTCCATTGTAACTTTACTTTTCTCCCGATTTGTTTTTTCTTCTACCTTCACGTGGGCATAAATAGTGTGGTTGACTACTGCTTCTCTGCAAAACCTTTACTATACAGACCAGTGTTAACATATTGCCAGGATCATGCACTTTTTGGTTTGTTTTCTTGTATATTAATCATAATAAAATGTTTACGCTGTAAATTTGATTAGAAAATGTTGCATGGAACATGACAGAAAATTATTTAACTTTAAATTCACATAGATATGTATGTCAAGATCAGATATGAATACAGAGACAGTATGCGTCTATATATATGAATTGATTTGGTTGGTCAATGGTTTTCCATATCCCCTCAAGAATAATATTGTTTTATACTGTGGAAACTGATTGACGTACAAAGTGGGTAAGCATCTTCAACTGGAAATAATGTTTGTTTTATAAAAGGAAAATAAAAAATGCAATTTTTACTGGTACATATGTGCATCCAGTTATCTACGTATTTTGAAAAGCAAATGCTTTGTATGCTTCCCATTCTTCCCTCTGGTTTAGAAAATACTGCCAAAATTTGTGTAGCAGCTTCTTGATGTTGCTTACATTTTATATTTTATAGCTGACTCTTCAATTCCAATTTTGACATCCTGTTGTTTACCAGTTGGGAGCTTCCTTTGCTGTTGGAGTTGATATAGATTCAGAAGCAATTGCATCAGCATCTCGGAACGCTTCCCTGAACAACATCAGAGCAGACAAAATGCAACTGCACTTGATTACTAGCAAAATCTCTTCATCCTCCAAAGATAACTCCACATTTGGAGTTATGGAGGGGGAAAACATTTGTGAGGCACACACAGTCACCACTGACAGGGCTAAGTTTGATGTGGTTGTTGCAAATATCCTCTTAAATCCTTTAATGGATCTTGCTGATGAAATTATATCTTATGCAAAACCTGGAGCTGTTGTTGGTCTCTCTGGCATCTTATCCGAGCAGGTAATTTAATTAAAGCGTTTGTATTTTCTTATTCAAAATGCTTCCTTGTGTTTGTTGGTACTTGGGGTTACTATAGAGGATACTGCTTCTCAATTCCATCATGCACCTGAGGTCATTGCCCTTGTGTTTTATCTAGGTCCAGTACATCATAGAAAGATATTCACCATTCTTAGAAGACATAGAAGTGTCCAAAATGGATGAATGGGCCTGCGTGAGCGGTAGGAAAAGAATATATTTGAATATGTGATGACTCATTAAGTGATCAATGAGTAGGTTTAATAGTTGGCAGGCAATCCCTCGTGCAGTTTAATGCCACCCAGTAAATTTTCTAGTGATCATTGTCATCGTTGGTTGTAGTTCGTCTACCAAGCATAAAAATTGCAGGGGCACTCCAAAGCATAATTCCCTGCCTTAAAAGAAATGTCATTTGGTATCCGAGCGTGCTAAATTACATTGATACCTCCTGTAATTTGTTTAAATTGTACATGATACCCTTCATTTTTCCTCTTCCTACGCTACTTTAATTGTTTGAAAATCATTTTACTGAGACTTCTTATTCATTAAATAACTGTCCTTAATTGTTTGAAAAAAAAAATATTTTTTACCTTATTAAGAGGTTGCTGTGAAAGTTAAAAAAAAGGTGTCATGTACAATCTGAAATTTGTGTGTTAGAGTAATTTATTCTTTTCTTTTATGTATTTTAATCCATGAATATTACTTCTAAAATTATTGTTATGTGTTTAATTTTGAGAATTTACCTATTAATGGCTTCATTACATGAATTTTTTGTTTCCGATAATTTATGACAGTAAAGTTTTGTTTTTGGATTTCTGAATTGGCTCTGCCAATTTATTTTGTTCATGATAATTTAGAAAAACGGGTGAAAATGTATAATATACGCATAGAATCTTCAGAATTGTTCTTGAGCACTCTTCGAAAGCATTCTCTTGGAATAGAAGAGATTGTCTTTGAAAGCTTAGATGACTGAAAATGTAGAAGTTGATCTTACTCATAAGACTCAAGGGACATATGTTAGTGTTAAAAGGATCCTAAGTAATAACAAGACTTCGGAAATAACGCAACTTGAGTTATCATGTTTCGATTTTTCATGAGGTCACAATTCAACCTGCTTATTCTGAATGCTCTTTCACTCTCGTACAGAAGCGATGAGGTTGTGAGCCCCAAGAAACAAACGAAAAATCTGAATGTAGTCTTTTAAGGTGTACATCATGTATGTTTTTTGTAATCTAATTGTTTAAAATAATATTAGATTAAAAAATAATAATAAATCTCTAATTCTTATTTTTAGTAAATTATATATATACTAACATTCTTCTTCACTTTTGTTTAAATAACAACACATTCTTTCTTGAACAAGAAAATATTTGCAGTAATATCACTTGTATTAAAAGTGTATTCCTTCTCCTAATTATAGTGTATCAACTTCCTAATCACCTGAGATCTACATTAGAGACAGGTAGGAATAAACCCTAAGCCACAACTAAAACACAGAAATTCAATCAAACACAAGATATAGTGCGATCGCCAACGCATAATCGACTAAGATTAAACAATGAATAAATAAAATAACCATAATAGGTGAACGAGTAAATTATTATTCAATTACTACCAGGAGTTGGAGCATCAATTTTGCGAGGTGCACACCTATTACAGCAATCTTAATCATACAAATTTTGCTCATATACGATATGTCAAAAACAAACTCTTGATAAGAAATATGGCCACAAGGCTAAATAGGTATACGAAAAAAAGAGCAACCGATTGCATAACTACGGAAGGAGATATCAGAAGCGTAGAGAAGAGATAAATATGGGTGAAGAAATAAATTGGCAAACACAGTAGAACGTGTAATAAAGATGGTTGCACTTGATATGAGAAAAGAAAACATATTTGATAACATAAAGAAAGAAACTTCAGACAACACCGATATCCCAGCACCCTTCCTTTGGGTACCACTTGTAGAAATCGTGGTTGCATTTTTGTCCCCGGCACTAGCCTGATAAACTCCACCAGGGGGACTCATAACTGATTCATATGTGGTAGTCATAACAAGAGTAGCAATTATCATATAAGCATTACGTTGCTCCTCTGTTATTCCACTCGCAATGCGAAGAATTGTAACACTTATTCTTTCATCACTGGGATCTTCGATTTTAATTTATCTGCAAAGTTGGATACATTAGGGACCGACGACTTTGCTTTTGCCCCTATTAATATACCTCTCATCTCTTCATTAGTTGCTACATCAAATGCTGATCGTCCCTCAAAATTCTTGGCTTTCAAATCCATCGTAGTCTTTACCAACAATTCAACCATCTGGTTAATTTCGAGGAATTAGTGAACTACATAACTATTACAGGCTAGATATAAAAAGACAAAAGCAATTAGAGACTAAGTTAAATTTCAAAATATTTTATTCTAATATGATGTAGAAACAAGGTAGGTATTTTTTAAATGTTTATGTAAAAAAGTTTCACATATCCATAGTACAGATAGTGTAACAATCTTCAACTTTCAAATTGAGAGGTGTGATAGGAGTTCATGCATGATATTACCTGTAAATCATTTTCAAAACATGCAAAATGGTATTTCCTTCTTCATCTTTCCAGTTCAACATTCTTGTCTCCAACCATTTCGGGAAGTTCTCATGAGCCACCCAACTAAGACTTGAAGAGCCTCAAACTGTCCACATCTCGCAGCAATGTGCATTGCACTCTCATTTTTAATTGTCACATCTGCAATGGAATCTGGACAAAGCTGAAGAAACCTAATCAAAAGGTCGATGTCTCCTTTCTTACTTACGAAATGAAGAGGAGTACGCCCTTTCCTCCCTTTGGCACGAGCAAGGTCGTTGTTGATGGCTACAAATCTGAGGACCATTCTTTCATGGCCGTTTTGCAGAGCAAGGTGGATGGCGGTGAACCCTTGTGGATTTAGTTTCCATGCAAAGGATGGTTTTAGTCTCATGATCTCAGTAGCAAATGGAAGATGCCCAACAGATGCAGCAACGTGCAGTGGTGTGTCTACAAACGGTATGGAATCTATGTCCTCCAAGACGTGTGGATTTTCTTGAATCACTGTGTAGAGGCGATCTACGTCTCCCTCTTGAGCAGCAGAGTTAACCCTCGACCTATCTTCGCTTGTCGTGTTCATCTTCGAAGTTCCTTCCTACATATTAACAATTAATATTTTAAAAGATAATTAATAATGAATAGTTGTATGTCAGATTTTTTACCAACATCTAGTGTATTTATATTTATGAATGTAATTATGAGTATGATATTTTTTTCCATTCAAAACTTTAAGCTATTAGTTTTATAATTAAGTTTTTGTCACTTGTACATAGTTTAACTCTTTTATATCTTCTCAATATAGAATTCAACTCATGTCTGCTAATTACTAATGGTAAAACATCACTATGTTTCCAATCAAGCTTAAGATTCTACCAGTTACTATAATTAATTGGTGAAGAAAGCTTCAATATACTAATTACTATTGGTTTATCAACTGAATAAATATGCAAGCCAAAGAAAACGACAACTTACAATTAAAATTCAACAATTATTAGTTGAATATTCTGACAGTCACAGCAGATGCAAGGCAGATACCAAATGGCTTTGATGCTGGAGTTTCTCTTTTTTCTTCTTTTATTCCTGCAATTATTTGAATGTTTGGGATACAATACACGTCCTAGAGCCAGAATACATAGATGAAAAAAAAAAAAAGAGAAGATTGAATATGAAGGTGATGTTTGTATACAATAAAAAGAAATACAGAAACTAACCATTATAAAAAACACAACCAAATTATGTGAAAGGTGCCTGATTAACCTTAAATTAAGGAAACAAGTAGTCTTTGCTTTTTGAGAAATTTAATGGAACATTAACAGTAGAAATACTAGAGTTCAGTAAACTAAGGAGAAGCTTTAGTCTAAAATCATACTTCAAGGATTGCAAACATTTAGGTAGCAACTTTACATATGTATTTTTACCTATTTCATTATAATTTTGAGTGGGAAATTGAATTAGAAGAGTATTAAATAAATTATTAAAATTTATTAATGATCTTATTAGAAATTTGTTTTAGACTAAAGTTTAAAAATTGCGAGAAAATTTTAGACTAAAATCAATAAATTTTAGATAAATATATAAATATTAAATTTATATAAAATATTTTCATCTCTGTAATTTAAAAAAAAAACTAAGGATATATTCGAAAATATATTTATATAAAAAAACAAATATTTTTAATCGAGTTATCAGTATCACTTGCATTTTTTCATAAAGTAAAATTGATGTTTATAGTAATTATGAGTATAATTATATCCATTCATCAACTCAAATATATTTATATAATATTATATATTATTATTTAATTAATAAGAGCGGTTATTTGGAAAATGTTTAGGTTCTCAATCCAACATTTTCGATTAATTATTACTTGTATCACACAAATTTACCAAATCAAAATAAAGTATGTTCATCGACTACTTCTATTTTCTCTATAGTAATTAACTAATAACGGAGAAGCTAATTTAAAATTATTAAACAGTTGAATAAGAGTGGCATATTCATTGACTAGGGCCAGAAAAAAAAAAAAAAAATATATATATATATATATATATATATATATATATATAATGCAAAATAATAATAGAATATTCATTCATATGTTTCAAATTCAATATTTGAATATAGTTTTTAAAAATACAAAATTATACCGTGAAACGAGATTTTTTTTTCATATATATATATATATATATATATAATCTCAGTTTCAATTATTTTGTTTTATTACCGGAATAAATTGCGTGAAAATTTAAGTTTTAAACTCAATTGTTTTTCTATTTTCACATAAAGTGTGATGTTGGTCATTAATAACAAAGTATAGTGAAGTAACAAAAGAACAAATATGTGTGAAATTTTGAATATTGAAACAACTGATTAGTGAACAAATTTTACAAAATTGTGAAAGCAGAACAAAATGTGTAATTAAGTTAAAAATTCTGTATTTCAAGATAGAAAATAAAAAAAAATGTTAATTAGTAATAGCTAGACATTTAAACATAAATTTTGAATAACACCGATAATATATCCTTCTTGGTCAGTCAATGTGAAAACATCCATCCTAAGTTGAGGAAATTTCATGCAAGCTTAACAAAAGATCATCCAATATATAAAAATGAAGAGAGATAATTAACGAAGTCAAAAAAGAAATAGTGAGTAGTACCACCTTTTTTTTCTGTAAAGTAAAAAAATCCCAAACTAAACCCATAAAAATGTAAATTTTCACTCTAATTTTGAAACCTTTTGGAACTTTCATGCAAGAAATAATGTAAATTTCTCACCTTTTAAAGTTAAGTATATATAAATATAGAGTTAAGTATATATAAATATAGAGAGGATTGAGGTGAAAATTAAGTCACAAGCTTGAAAACAAGAAAACTAAATACATTAAAACCAAAACAATGTGGAGCAGAAATTTCGAATAAAGATAGGAGAAGGAGCCTAATTGACCAAAAACATGATATAAGTGATAAACCTTTGGTTGTTGAAAATGTTGTTAAAATATTAATACTATATCTATTGGTTTAACAAAATAGAAAAAGTTTTACTCTTTTAATCACAGACGTCTTAGGATATTAATCAATTTCTGGACTCTCAAATTTGGTTTCAAAAAATTTTTATTTTTTTTTCAAGTTTTCTGTAACTTCATTTAATAAACGATATTGATAGCTCTTCTGCTATTTTTTTAAACCATTTTTGCCTTCCGTCAGAACCCTATTTATGATAGAAGGGAGAATCTGAAACAACATATTCATCTCTTTCGCCCTACATAGATTAAATACCATTGAGAATTCTACTTCTTTTACCTACTATTACTAAGATATTGCGTAACAATTTTTTATTCTGAACATTTCCATGGTTCTACATTATTTTCACATAAAAAAAACTGTCCATTCTTTTCACATTATCTGATAAGTACATAATATTTTAATATGATTAAGCATCTTCAGCATCACTCATGCTGACACAGCTCTCAATATGGAATTCAGCGGAGAAATCAATTTCATCAACAATCCTTCCTCTGTTTACATGGAAGTGCACAATATGCACAATCAGTATAAACCCAGTATGGAGAATGAAGTATAACTCAAATTGTGACAATATTATACCTTTCAAGAACAAACTTCCCCTCTTTATACTTTTGACTTCTCTCATGTGCAGACTCCTGAGACAGTAGTGCAGTTTTAAAGGGGTCAAAAGTGTGACAGAAAGCTGGAACAAAGAGTGAACATAGACTTTACATGAAAAACTTTCCGGTAACCCATGCAAATAAACTTCACAAGAGACTTCACCTAAAACATCCATTTAGATATTTTGTACACCAAAAAGAAACAGGTAGGAGGAGAATTACATATTTCCAGCCAACTATTTGACCGCAGCAACAACAATAGATATCTGCCACAGTATGCAGTCCCGAAAGCATCATCCTTTCCTCTAGCGCTCCAATCGTGAAGTTCACACTAGATCATGGGGTTGAAGACAAAAGCATACCCATAAGAATTGGAAACTTCAGATGCAGTTATATTTTATCTAAGAAAAACTAGATCCAAACAATTCCTAAACTAGCGTAGTTAGGAATGAGCTCTTAGCATGTGTTTGAAAGAGCTTCTCCGAAGCTTATTTTCTGATCCAAGAACTTCAGCTCAAAATGGAAGGTGTTGGATTAAGCTTATGATAAGGCTTGTGACCTTCCTACAATTTCTTTTTGGCTATTTTCAACGAGTTTATGGTGATTCTAAAGGTTAAGGAGTTTATGTAGGAGGTCACAAGTTTAATCAATCAAAGATAAGCTAACAGAATTAAGTGCTTATAACATAAGCTCTCGCTAGTGATAAGCCCTATATTGAATAAGCACTGAACTAAGGTTTTTACCAAAGCATGCCCTTAATCTAGTGCCTGCTTTTCATTAACAATAATGTGCAAAACAGAAATGCATTAGCAAGCATCAAGTCAAATATTTTTCATAGAAAACAGATATATATGAAGTTGAGCTTACTTACTAATTCATGATTACCTTTTTTGTTTCCTATGCCTAAGTCATTTACTGTTAATACATAAAATGCATGAATCATTTCAAATTAGCTTTATTTTCTTTCTAGGCACATGTTCCCGATACTTCATGCATTGCTTCCATACATTCACAAAATCAGTAACACTACAAACAACTTGCTCCTATATGCAAAGAATCAGGAGTTCAATGTCACAATCATTTAAAATTACAATCTAGTGTCAATATATCATGGATGTTGAAGTTACCCAGGGTATGCACAAAAGCACATGCTTATCTAAACAATGCAAAAGACGAGAATTTCAATACTCAAACCATGATTTCACTCCCGGTCTCCATTGATCAATAAGAGCCACCCATCTGAATCGATAGCTATTTTAAACCCATTTTACATGGACTGGAAAAGTTATCAACTAATTAAGAATTTTGCAATGCAAATTTTTCTGTTATCAATCATTAATCTCACATGAAATTCTTAAAAAAAAAAACATGACTTGAATATCTATGTTAAATCAATTAACATAAATAAAAATAAATAGAATACAAATAGCAAGTACAACAATTCCCAGTTTATATAGGTAGCAAGTAATCCTTATAGGTACTACAACAGGTTCAAATGCCTCAGTCTTATACTCCTACAAAAAAACATTTCCAAATAAATTAAAAAATGTAATTTAGTAAAGTAGTTTAACTTAAGCAAATTATGACCATCATAATTAGAAGATTTATGGCAGTATCAAATTATGCTTGAGTGTAACTTTTAACTAGTAATATGAAAACACTAAATAACATGACTCACAAGGCTGTTGTTATGTTACTGTATACCGAATCATAACTTGAAATTCATTACTCATTTGTCACTAATGCATTAGAACTGAAAAATACTCACACATTATTGAAGAGATATGCTTTTCCCCGCTGGCAATAAAATGCCTGAGAAGAATAGAGACCACATATTAAGATGACAAATAATTTAATCCAGCATAACAATTACAGTACCGTTCTGGTAGATACCTAGCAAAACCTAGAAGACAGAGATAATGCATTCAATTAGAAGCAAAAAAGTTAACTTTGCCATTTTCCCCCTCACACAGTTTTCATGTCATAGATATACTTATATGTAATTAAAAGCTACTCTTAGTATACGATAGTCATGAAAAAAAAAAAAGGAGAACACCCGCCCATAGTAAGTGGAGAAATAAACAGGTATTACAAGAATGAACAAATTACACTAATACCCCCATGATTTTTTTAAATCTCACTCCTACGTTTTAACATCCACAGTAACCCGTTAATGGTTTGAAACATGTCAGACCATGTATCCCAGTTCTCCAAAAAACAAACTATATTGTGTACTATAAGGGGATTATCTCAAGGCATTAAAAGGTCAGGGGTATCATGTGAATTTTCAAGAAACCAGAGTAGGTGTTAATGTACATTTCCCAAAAAGAAGCAATGCACTGACATCCAGCAACAGTCAGAAAGACAACAGTGAGTTCTTAAGTCTTTTTCTAGTCATGTAACAAAGGACCCTATTTTCCCTTTTTTGTATCATTTTGACATAACATACTGGCTTTGAGATTAATTTCAACCTATAATGGGGATAGCTACTAAGTAAACACCTCTATTCGCATATCAACCTGTTGTTAAAAGATGTAATATAAAGCCCTTCATGTGTCTTCATCTAGTGGATTAAAACTATTGAGATAGTTGGTTCATGATAGTATCAGATGTTCTGTGGTTTAAGTACAGATTTCGATCTTTACCACCCTCAATCTTCAAATAAAAAGTTGAATTTCACCACAAAGTAGGATGACCCAAGATCATGATTCCAGCCTAAAGGGATCTTGTGTGAGGAGCACCTAAGATTTGATATGAAGTGATTCTTATATCTTCACTAGTCAACTTAAACCTTTTGTAATAATTGTTTCATAAAACCTACAAATGCTTATCTAATTATTTTCATATTCAAAAATTTGTCCTTGATATTTTTAAGTTATATATTTCCTTGACTGCAAATTGTAACCTTCGATTCAGCCATGAACAAGATTGAACAGCAAAAGGACTAAAGTGAAAGATATTTAACAATTCATGTAACAAACCAGTATTCTCGTTATGATTTGTTGCCAATATAGTTATCCTTATTATAAGAACAGATGAGCCCATAAGTTACTATATTGTAACTAATCCCCATTCTGCAAAGAGACAACGGCAGGATATAAGCCATTCTTTCTCACCAGATTAGCCACGGTGTTCTTGTTTTTCAATAGTGGTAGAATCTGCAATAGGAATGTTAATGAGAATATGATTCTGCAAAAGGGATTTCGTAAAAGATAACCTAAGAGATGAAAATATGATACTGCCACTGGTGATATTTTGAGTTCTGCTAAGAGCAAACTTTGCCAGCAGAACTAGATCGATCCATTCTCCCAGAACTTACAGAGGACTGTTGGATTAATAGCAATCTTACTCAATTGAATCCTTTGATACAGATTTTGACATTAAGTGCAAGGTGTATTTTATCACTGGATTTAGAAAACAATAACCCAGTCATCTAGATTCCGTGGAATGATGCAATCTTCATATTAGAAAATTTCAAAGCAGCAGTGAAGGTCTAATAATTTGTTACTCTAGGATTAAGGGTCACTTTGACGCACCCCATAAAAATTAGGGTGAAATTTTTCAGGGATGATGTGTGCAATCTTCAGATTAGAAACGTTTAAAACAGTAAAAGTATAACCTTCTGTGACTCTGGGGTTAAGGGACAGTTTGGTACACCCCACAAAATTAGGGTGGAAAATTAAGGGATGATTTTAACATGAAAAAGGTTAACTTAAAACAAGTTTGTGATCACAATTCACCTGCAATCTTAAGGTTTTTGGGAACTCCACATTTATAATTGTAGTCCCGTCAACTTTATTTCTTCACAATTTCACACAACATGAAGGATCCCAACAATCACCGCATGACCACAATTTCCAACCTTTGGCAGACCAAACTGATTGCAAGGATCAAACATTGTTCTTTGTATGAGTGGTAAACCAAACCCTATAATTGTAAACGCTTCACACCCAACTCAACATAAATAATCGATGTATCGAAGCTTGAGTTCTAGCAATCAAGGCTATTCTTCTCTCATATAACCATAACTATCGAATCTCACGGACCCAATATAACAAAGGCACAAATTTTCACATACCAACATAAGAAAAATGAAATGAAATGACATACTGTTGTTTTAAACAGGACAAATTGCTCTTTATGACCGTTTCAGATAACCTCACAAACCCCTTCTCAAATAATGATGTTAGATAAAAGGCCATTCTCATTGAGTAAAGTTAGAGAAAAAGAAGTACACGAGAGATTAGATCATCAGCAAGGGCCAGGTGGGTTTTGCAGGACTTGCAGCCATAGGACCTGCCCTCCAGCTCCACCGTGAAGATTCTCCCCATTTTCTTCGGTTTTGAAAGACACCCTTTGATGTCACCACTCACTATTTTTCAGCATTCGCTTACCAAGGTAAAGGTAATAAAAAATAATAACAATTATACAACTGAAGATTAGTATGAACTACGAAGATAGAGAGAGAAAGAGACCTGTGAAGGATTCTATCAAGGGAGAGAGGAAAACGGTCACGTGGTACTGAGTTACTGGTAGGATGAAAAATTCAACAAAGATTTTTCTTTTATTTTTTCACTGGTTTTGCTTCTCAGATTAAATTTGTGTAAGAGAAAACTAGTTAGAGGTTAATTCGCACAATTGTAATAATATTTTTTTTCAATAGTTTTTATATTCTTTTTACGATACAAAAAATAAAAATTTCAGACAGATACTTTGAGCTTTTATTTTGTTTATAAATAAACATTGTAAACTTGTTGTACTTTGCTTTAATCAATCTTTTAATTTTAGTCTTTTTACAATTAGTATTTTAATTTTATTATATTTTAAGACAAATAACTTAACTCTAACCTAATTAACAATATTTTTTAAAAAGAAAAGGTTTCATAATCAATTAGAATGCAATTAAATTTCAAGGTGTGAATAAAAATGGAAGAATTTGAGCATTAATTAAAACAAACTGACTTAAACTAAAATATGATTTCTTCATGTGTAAATACGATTTATTCACGATATTTAAACTAAATAATCGTATTTACAAACGATTTTAAACGATTCATTTTTTGAAAAAATCGTCTGTAAATACGATTTTAATTTTTTTTCAAAATAACTTAAATAATTTTCAAATCCAATCATTGATTTTTTAAATAATTCATCTTGAAAAGAAAGGATACATTTTAATTTATCTTCTGAAAGCAGTTTAGGTTGACATTTTTGGCAAAATACTGACAAAAGAGAAGGTGCTATTAAAAAAAAGAGAGGTATATATAACAATTAATTTTAATACTGGATAAAAATTTCAAAGCCCATTTCACTTCACCCAAGAAAACTCGAGTTGGATTATACAAATTACGAACCATAGTTCGCGTAATTATAAGTTATATCATGTAAGTGATATATATTTTTTATATATTACATTTAAAATATTTCTTTTAAGGATTGTTTGGGAAAATATTTTAAAAATTATATAAATTATTGAAAAAACAAAAATAGTTCATTAATTTAATTATGATTTAACCGTATAAATTTATAAATGTTATTTTTATCTTGATTTTGTTGTTGCGATCAAACGAAATATTTTTCATTCAATCTACCAAACAAGAATTAGTTGTTATTATCATAGTTTTTAACTATTGATTATTAAAATAATTTAATTTTGGAAACTATTTTAAACAAAACATAAGTTTCTTAGATGAATTTTGTACATGTAAATCAAAATTTGATGCAAAAAAATGAAGCTAAGACATTATTATTATTATTTTAATTTAGAAAATATATTAATATTTGAGCACGTGATGATGGGAGAAGTTTCACGGATTAGAAAAGGAAAGGGGAAGAGGGCCCACCTGTCAGCGGCCGCCACGCCTCCAACAAGCTTCCATCCAGAAACCGTTTTTCCATGTGGGCCCACTTTTCTCTCAAGATTCCTTTCATCGAAAATAATAAATAGTTTTAAAAAGAAAATAAGAAGAAACATGTAGGAAGTTAAATAAGGTTTAAAGCATTAATTAATAATAAATAATAAATAATTATAAAAGTGTTTCTATAATTTTTCATATTTAATTTAAATTTTTTACTTTTTTTATATATTTTTCTTACTATCAAGCCGACTTTTATCAAATTTTTTATTATTGAATTAAAATTTAAACATTATCATGTGTCAAATACATGAAAAGAAACTTAAATGTGTTCAATTAACCATGTAAATTGGAGTTGAATTTCCCCTAACTGTTAGATGAAATTTTGAATGTTATCATAGTAGTGGACATAAAAAGAAACTTCAGTATTAACCATTGATCAAAATTTAAATATACAATTATTGTTTATTTTTTATTTGATAACATTTAACATTAATGAATATTGAAGTACTATTTAACATCAATTTCTTACATTAATGAAGATTCAGTCATTGATTGAATTTGAACTCAACATATAAACAATATTACAGTAATTTTATGCTTACTATTATACATTTTTTTAACATATGATATTTTTCCAATCATTTAACATATGATATAAACTTTAAAATTTCACAAGTACCCTTTATGAGAGACTTAATCATTCTGTAAATCATGTTTAAAGGGGAAATAGATTAAATTCCTTAAAAAAAACCTACATCTATCAAAGAAATTATAAATATTTTTAATAAGATTGGTGACGTTTGTTGAGGCAAAAGAAGATAAAATGAAAAGGAGATTAAAAAAAAAAAGTGAAGTGAGTGTCTTTAATAAGAGAAAGAAGCTCCACACCGTTTTCGCCGTCGGTGCCGTCCCCAACGTCATTTTCAACTCTACACCTTTTCCTTTCAAATTTTAATTATGAATATAAATATTTAAATTAAAAAAAAAACAATAAATCTGAAAACGAGATGCTTCTCTCGCTTCTTGAAAAGCATAATGTCCCGAGTTTGGCAAACATTTATTTAATATTCTTTTTTCGTGTCTTTCTACTTTTCGTGCCTTACCGCGTACTCCACTGTTTTCTTATTACATTTAGTTAACCAATTTACTACTATAATTAACATAATTATTAGTAATAAAATTATGACCAGGTATATATTAATTTAATCACATGCATATCATTTTCTCATTATGAATTTAATATACCAAGGAACAATTATACAAGAGAGGAATACAAAAATAGGTAGATCCTACTATGGATCCATGCTAATAAAAAAAATTACAAATAATTTATATACAGGTTATTTTAATAATTCAATGTTAAACTAATAAAAAAAAACTTAATTTAACTTTAAATGTTTATATATATGAAGTGTGGCCATAGAATTGACAAAGCATTGAGATGTGCGCCGAAACGGGACAAGAGCATCCTCAAATCACGAGGTCGACGAAACGAAGCGTCTTCTTCATTTTGGAAAATCAGAACCTTTAAAACCAGACCCACGCTCCCATCATGAACCTGCAAAACTCTTCCTTTTTCTTCTCATCTTTTTCTTTGCTTTTTCAATTTCAAACACCGTACTCTGTCCAAGAAGAAGTGGACCCCACTGTCACACAAACCACCGTCGTTAGGAAAACCAAAACAATGGATTATTCAAAATAAAATAAATCAATAAACAAAAGCCCAACAATGCCGGCCATTTGCCTGCTGCATCATATCCCACCATTAATTCTCGTTGCATCTAATTAATGTTCTATCTTGTTTGTTGGAATTCCATAAAAAATTACACTAATTTGTGTTACAAGCAGGGAAGATACTGAACACCAATTACTAATATGTACTATTCCACCTCTCATAGGAAAGGATAAACATATATTATATATGACAGATATCATGTAGTGTTATTATCCATATATTTCTCTCTCTCTAGAATTTAGGTGTCTAGCTAGTATCATTATTCATAGTAGTCAAATTCCAGTTTCCCATTACCACTGACGTTGTTCTATTACAAAACAGAAACATCAATGAATAATATAACTGAAAGAAAAATATAAATTTATATATATATATAAAAAAAAGTTAACAGCAACGGCTTTAACAGGAAGGGGATAAATCCCTACTTCTGTTGAAAAAAAGCAGAATAGAAACAAAAACTTAAACCTGCTTTCCTTTTTTTTTCCCTTTTGTTTGGTTAATTATAATCTATTTACATTAAAAAAAATTCGACCATCATGTCAGCTACTGATTTGTGAAAAAAAAACATGCGGCGAAAAAACAGGATCTTTTCCCGGTTCAGGCAACCTCGGGCGGAGGAGGGACATTAAGGTCGAGATCCAACACCACTCTTTGATGTGGGACCCGCTCGTAGTCAACGACAGAAGACGAGTCGGAGTCGCTCTGGGCGGTGACGGCGGCGCGGCGAAACGCGGTCACGGGAAGATCGAAAGCGCGCACCTCAGCACGGGCGAACGCGTCAAAGAAAACCACGGGGCGGGAGACAGGGAACACCAACGAGCCGGCGGCGGCGAGTGGGTTGAGAGTGAGGTCGAGCGGCGGCGGCGGCGGCGGAGAGGGGGACTCGAGGGTGCTGCTCTGGCTGGGGCTACGCGCCACGTGGGAGAGTTCCGCGTGCGTGGGGAAATTGGTCTTGGCCTTCGCGCCGCGGAACTCACGCGCTGCAGCGTCGTACGCACGCGCGGCCTCCTCTGCGGTGTCGAAGGTGCCGAGCCAGACGCGCGTTTTCTTCCCCGGGTCGCGGATCTCGGCGGCGTAGCGGCCCCAGGGTCTCTTCCTGACCCCGCGGTATCGGATCTCTTTGTCCAAACGGGTCGGGTCGGAGGGCGATAGAACGTTGGATCTGTTGTCTTTCGGAGCCATTATTGTTGTTTCGGGGAGTTTGAGATTGAGAGACAGAGAAAAAGTGAGAGAGAGTAGTGTTGTAGGCTTGAAAGATGGAGACAATGGTTGTGGTGTTGGAGGGGTTTTTTATAGCGAAAAGTTGGGTGAGAGAGAGAAGAGTGTGTGCGTGCGCGTTAAAAAAGCTACGCTCCTTTTGGGCGCTTGTTGCGTACTCAACGTAGATTCACTTGCATAAATATTGTGCTCACTAGTCTCCTGCTCCTAATTTCATTCCATATTACTCTTTTCATGTGGCCTCAGAGTGTCACAAATGTTTTCTACTTTTACAATAAACAAATAACTAATTCATATCAATTATCCGTACAATTTTTTTTTTATATATGTTGTCTTGATAAAATTCACCTCCTTCGTATGTTCTATTAATGGCAATAACAAAATGTCCTCAAAGTTGTTGAATTTTATCATGAAATTTTTTTTGTGTTGTGTAATTTTGAATAGATTAACTCTGGTTGGCAATTAGTTAGTTTTAATGAAGAAGTGACTAATCTATTTTTTTATATTTAATTATTTATTTATTTATTTGATGTTTATCTCTCAAGTAAACTTAATAATAAATTTCTATCTCTTCTTCAAATATTATTTAAGACAAAAAAATCACACATTAGTATAAGTTATAACATTTCCTTAAAAAACAAACATGAAATGGATCATTGAGTATTGCAAATCTAAAATAATAATAATAATAATAATAATAATAATAATAATAATAATGATGGTTGTTGATTATGGATAAACTTTTTATAAGCTTGTAAAACATGTATTTTTTTTTCTCGTGATCTACCTCATTTGTTTTCGTGACTTTAAAAGAATAAAAAGTGAGAAAAAAAAGAGAGTAAGGATTGACGTAGTTTGTTTCATTCGATTAGCATGAAGAAAAATGCAGACTAGAGAGGACAATATCGTTACAGTACCTTTTTTTCATGCGGAAAAAAATGGAATACTTTGTTGTTTAGGGTGATGAAGGAGAAAAAAAATACTATAAACATAATACAACATGCTCATATACAATTAATTAAAAAAAAAGTGTTATGAGATGTTATTTTTATACATAATAGATTACATGTCACTATACGGTTATGAGTTTTTCGAATTTTTATTATCATATTAATAAATAAATTTAAAATAGGATTCAGACTAAATAATAATAATAAATAAATAAATAAATTTATTTTTCTTTATATTCATTTTTCACTTCAATTTTAAATATGTATGAGAAGATTATTTTTATTTTAACCATGTTTTTAATATGAGATTTATATTAATAAGTAATCTTAACTCTTATATTAAAAAAATTTAATGGTGAAATAAAGAGTCAATTTTAATTTTTAATTAAATTTTTTAAATATTCTATTAAGTATAATCTCTATGATAAAATTTAAAGGAAAATTCTCTTTAATCTTACCCTCTTGTGTTTTTTTTTTATAGATATTATTAGAAGTAGAATATTTCGTATTTAATCTTACTCTCTTGTAATTTTTTTTATAGATATTATTAGAAGTAGAATATTTTGTATCGAATATTTAGTAGTACAGGTATCACCACTAAATTTATATTATATGTTAGAAATCACAGTACATACTAATACAAATATATTTAACAACATTTTTTCGTTAAAAAAACACACACTAATAAAAAAAACAAAAAAAAAACAAAAAAAAACAAAGAGATCATGTATTTGAATCACACTTATATATGAATCATTATTAATAAAGACAACATTTTTGTTTAAATTATTTTTAACATTTTAATGATAATTTACTTATAATCCTTGTTATTTATTTATATATATAAATTTTTTTAACAAAGTTCTAATTATGATTGTTATAGTATCTTTTGTTATTTTGTTTATTTCTTTTTTATAATCTAATATTTTTCTTCTTTTTTTCATCTCCTTTTTATGATCAATTGATCTATTTTCTCTTCATCACACTCCTCTTTGATTTGAATTATTACTCTCTTTTTCCTCTTTGATTTGAATTATTACTTTCTTTTTATCATAATTTTTTTTTTATGTTCTTGACATTGGCTAGAGGGAAAACAAGAATAGAAAATAGTATTCTAAAAAGTAAACGATTCATGTTTTACCATATAAGTCGAAGATGGATAATAAATCAAAGTTGGAGGTCAAATTAAAAATATTTAACTAAAAATGTATTATGTTTGAAAAATTTTGATTTGTATTAATATCGTATTTAAAAAGTAAAAATAAAAAAGTAGTGAAATATTTTAAACATGTTATGATAGAGTAAAATTTATCATAAAACCATATATGCAATAGAAGATATTATCATATTTATAGTTTAGAACAAGTTAAAATCATTATTAATTTCATAACTTTTAATAACAGCTATAATAATAACGATTATAAAATTGTCATCGACATTTTAAAGCCTTATAACTTTCTTTTACAATTTTTCTCAATTAATTTCAAAAGTTATAATAAAATTTAAAATCTTAGAGTGAATTATACAAAAAAATTTAGTTTTTTTTTCATAAGCAAAATTTATTTTTGTACATAATTATTTTTAAACAAAATCCACTACAATAATAATATACACAATTATGGTTCAAACAGACACTTTTTTAAACATTCACATCTTTTAATCTAATATTTTATTTTTTATTAAAAAAATTCACTTTTTTTTATTTAAAAATCTAATTTTTCTTGCATATAAATCTAAAAGATACTTTTTCATGTCCAAACATGCTAAAAAAATTAATCAACAAATAAATCATATTATTAAGGATCATAACAAAAACAACTTATTTTATTTTAAAAACATGATCAATTAATAATTTTTTACACTTTATAATTTTAGTGCGACGAAACTTTAAAGAGATTAACCTAGATGATTTTCTTCAAGACCAGAAAACAATACATATTTATATAATAAAAAACTACAATAAAATAATAAATTTTATATTTATATCTGTTAAAGTATTTTAAATTCAAATATTAGATATGTTATAATAAATATTTAAAAAAATTTATTATAAGTTTATTTAACTAAAAAAATAGACAATGGATACATCTAAAGAATTATTTTACCAAAATATAAAAATACAAATATTATACATCGATAAATATCTTTTCAAAATTTTGGTTGACCAATACTGAAAAGAGAATGATCAAGAGGTTGAAAATTAAAAATTTGGATGGTAGATAGAGTAAAAAGAAAAAAAAATCTTACAAGTATATTAAATTTATTATTATTTATTTACTTATTATTTATTTATTTAATATTCATTATTTTTATTAAATCAATTAAATTATATAACTTTTAAATAACTTCATCTCTATTTAACATTTATTTATACTCTATTTCTTGTCAACAAATGTATTTAGGAGTTGTGAAGTAATATTTAAATTTACAAAAACAAACAGTCCCTTACAGGTTCAAAGGGAAAGTGAACAAATAAAAATAAAAGTTCCAAGCGGACAACATATTTGGACATCATACTATATGAATTAGTGCAACATCATTCCATAATTTTTAAAAAAATGTTTATTTTAAAATGTAAATCATATAATTGAAACGTTATATTTTTTTAAACTATAATTAATAAATCATTACAATATATATGTATATATCAATACAATATTTTTAAATTTGATTTTAAATAAAAAAACATGTCTAATCTAATTTATATTTATTTGAATTATATATCCAACAAGATCTATTATATGTATTATTTAATTAATCAATCTTATTTTATTTTGTTCGGACCAAAGACATATCTAATTATATTTTAATGAAAAAAATAGTTTATATTTTTAAATTTTAAAATTAATTTGAAATTTAAAAAAAGTGTTCTCCATGCGTAAAAAAATTAATCAAACCTACTTGTAACCATGTTTACGAATATCTAATTAATGAAATAATATTACTTTCAAAATATTTTATTTGTTACCTATCAATATTCTACAAAAGGTTTCTATTTTTATTTTTTTAACGTATTTTTTATTTTTATTTTATTTTAAATGATATGTTGAATACCAAACTTGAAAATAATTAAACACTAGCATAAAAAATTTATATACAGACTAATATTTTAGAAAATGTTTACAAGAAATTGTTTAAAAATAAAATTATTATTTTACTATAAATTTACACACATAAATTGTGTTAAAGATGATTAAATATTACTAATTTTTTTAATTTTAAATAATATTTCCATATTTAAATAATTATATATATAAGATTTATAATAATATAATTTTTTATTTCTAATTAACTTTGCCGTATCTTCGTTGTTAACAACCATCAATTAACAACTGAACATCGTCTTATAATATATTTTTCATAGTTTTCTAAAAGAAAAATTCATTTACGATGCTTTAATATTACACCTATCTCTAAATTTTGTTATGTAGTTTTAATATTTTAACCTGCCGCTGTACTGTGAAGAGGGCACAGGCGCGTGCATATGCACGCACGTGCACGAAGCACGAAGGAAGTTTTGTTTTATCTTTTGTTTTATGGCTATCCAATTCCATTTCCTGTAGTGTAATATTCGGCACGGTCAACGAGATTTTTCTAGATTTGACTGCACTGTATGCCATGAGTTGTTCCCGCGCCGCCCCAATCGCGATTCCACAATGGGGCCCGCCACCGAAACAGGAAAACATCATCACGTGCTCCCTCACTGGACACTACACAACCTACGGAGGCGGCGTATCGCTTAACGGCGGTTAAAACATCTGCGTTTGTGTCTGTTGTCATGCCACAAACGGAACATGACGGCAGTTCGAGGATGCTTCCCCACACATTTGTCGGCACGCTCCACCCCCATCGCCCCGTGGAACAAATAATTTTTTTATTTTTTTAATTATAAGACTTGGTATATTTTTAATCCTGTAATTTGATTTTAACTCTTCAAAACAACGTGTCCAAATTATTTAATGACCATTTTATTTTTTTGATAAATAAAGACATGTTACTATCACTTATATGTACTAAACTATTTTTATTAATTATCATATATTTTTAAATTTATTTTTATAAATATTTACTAAATAAAACTATTTTTTTTAAGAAATGAAACCAATTGGATAAATGAAATAAAATTAATTTGACATAAAAGAAAATTCACAAATCATAAGTTGAAATGTGATATTTATTTATGAAAAACTAATTTTTAAAATAAAAATTAAAAGACTTAAAAAAGGTAACTTTTTAAAAATTAATTAATTTTAAAGAAATTCAAATGATTAAAAAGATATTAAGTATTAATTATTTAGGAGATAATTTATGTGAGGGTATTGGGTTGGTTATGTGCTACGAGGATCAGAGTGTGGAAAGAGGTTTAGATGTTGACACGTGGTGGATTGGATCCCTAGCGGGAGACATGCATAGCCGCCCCTGCATGAATGTACCGCCGTCCTTGCAGCTATAAACATTATTGTAAGTCATTTTTTTGGTACGGTCGAGTGAGACATACCACAAATGAATTCAATACCAATTTAGGTTCATGTTTCAAATTATTTTATCAATTAATCAACTAATTAAAAATAAAAAAAATAATGGCTTTCAGTATACTGTTGGAGTAAGGTTTGTTTGGTTTGAAGAGAAACACGTGTCTTGGTGAACTAGTTTCAATTCTTTTAACTACAAAACAATCATGCATATATTATATTCACATTGCGGGATTTAACAAAATTACATTTCACGTGGCTTAGGCATATATTAAATTTCAATTAACATTTTTATTTTTATGATTTTCACAAATTACTCTATTAGTTTTAAAATTATATTTAAGCTTTTAGTAAGTTTTTAACTTTTTTATTATTATTTTAAAGATATTTAATATTTCTAACAGTCATTGGTGAATTTTTTTTGATAATTTATAGTTTTTTGATAAATAATTTTTTTAATAAATTGTAGTATATTTTTAAAGGTTATTTCAGTTTACATTTTTCTAAGTATTAGTTCTAATCTCTTATATTTTATTTCTTCTATACCGTATGAAAAAAAGTCTCTAGATAAGTTCACTACCATATATTTTACATTTTAAAACTTTTCATATTTTACTTTTTCTAACCCTTTTGATATTCTCAAGGCTTAACTTATAACGAGAAAATTGAAAAAAAAAACAGAAATATGTTACTTTTTTGAAAGTAATATATATGAATGATGTAATCATTAACACATTCTTAACATAATTAAATTTTTAAAAGATAACATTTAATGTAAAATAAAAATACACTATAATTTATTCAATATTTTTCTCCTAATAAAAAAAATACGTACATTTTCCAAAGAATAAGGAATATAAACTTTTGAAGGAAATGCAGTATGCTTTTGTAGAAAAAAATATTGTACTTGGTTTCATTAATTAAAAGAGTGAAAAGTAAACAATAAATAAATAGCAAATCACTGAGGATAATAATAATTCTACAAACAAATGTAATTAGCAATGAGTGATTGACCAAAATTAAAATTAGGAAAATGAAAGGACAGGGAACAAGCTAAAGTGACACAAAAGTAGTTTTTGATGAGATTTCTTATATGTTTGTTAATTATGATTACTAACGTTTCAACCTTAATAATGATGAATAGGTGTAGTACTCACACAATCTTTTCGTGGGAAGTTATAATCGGAATTTATAAACAAAAGTCAAAAATAGTGCGTTAAAAAAAGAAAAACATACTTCCACAAAGTATGATTGGTGTAAAGTTTACACCTTTAAGAAAGTTCCAACTATAAATTTATTGATGAAGCTACAATGCAAGAAAGAAACCATAATAGAGTTGTTTAATGTATTTTAAAATTGAATGAATGAGATATTAGGCTACAAAACCATATTTTTAGCAAATACCATTATCTTTAAATATGTGATAAAAATTCAGATTCGATTCTAAGTTTTGTATATACCAAAAAATATCTATTAAAATTGTCTGTTATAATAATAGTCCATTTTCACCATAGTTGAATCAACCATTTTAAGGAGGCATTGCATTATACAGCATGGAAAAAGTACAACAAAAGCTAATTACGAAGTTGCTGTTTAAATCAATGGATCTACATAACAATAGTGCACAAGAAGTATGGAAACTAAACCAATTTGAACCAACACCAAGGAAGACTAAATACACTATTTGAACAGAGTGGAAAAAATCTGCAGGAAAGTCTTCACTGGCACCTCATTTTACTCCAATGTAAATTAGCATGAGGATTGTTTCATGCACTGGCTTCAGGAACTGGGGTATACCAGCCATGATGGATCTCCACCGCCTTCTTTCTTCGGGCAAGCCGAGCCTTGCGATTTGCTGCAGTGTTCCTGTGCAGTGTTCCAGCTCTCACAGCTTTGTCAATTGTTGAGTATGCTTCTCCAATCAACTTCTCAATTGGGAGGATTTCCTCGGATACCGCATCTTGTTTCTTCTTCAGCACTTCTAGAGCTTCCAAAACCTGCGGACCAAATATTATGTAAAAGCTCGAAGTTGATATGGTACCACAGAAGGCAAGAAGTATAAACATGAGTTCTGACAAGAATTAGGAGTGGTATTCTGAGAGTATTTTACACTCTCTGCAATGTCTGAAGCATTTGCTGCAGTTTAATGGAACCATAACTACAAGTCACAATGTTAAGTAAACATAAATCTTCAGTGTTTGAAAGAGCTCAAAATAAGTACCTGCAGTTGTTACAACAGTTAACGAATAATGGTTCATAATTATTTTTGGAGTCTTATGCTAGTGGACTGAGCTTCTACTAGTTGTATTGCACTGGTAATTGAATTACAATACTCGACACTATTATAGTAACAGAAACAAAGGAGCATTATTAAAGATTTTATCATGCATGTCATGCTGTCATAATAACTTTTTCTCACCAAATTTTAATCTTTTCCTAACAATTCCAACATCTTATATTAGGATATTCCTGAGAAACTAGAAGAATGCTGAGTCTCACCCATAAGAGGTGGAACCACCAATGGGTTGTAGAAAGAAAGTCATGCCATACTTGGTTTAATCATGTTGGTCTAAACGGACAAATAAGAACAATCATGTCTTCCACTCTGAAGTTGGACGCCAACAGGAAACCAAAGTGTTTTTCTCAAGCATAGTTTGGTACAATTTAAAATTAATATGAAAGGGATATTGAATACTATCTGTTGCAATGACCCGTAGGGATCTAACCGCTTAATTTTAGACACTGGAAGTAAAGATTTATCACATTCTTTTTCTATGAAAGGAAAATATTCAATCAGTATGAAAATCAACAAAATTTTATAGATGAAAGAAATGCTTATTCTTTTTCAGTCTATACTAGCAACCTTCATAACAAGTATAGAAAATTTGGTTGAAATGAAAATCCATGCCCCTAGAATAAAAAAAAAGATACAAACTATTTACACCAATCCTGCGCACGAAATCCTACAGTAAATGTAAGTCCAAAGTCCACCGTATCATCTTCTTCTCCCTCATAGGTCTCATATTCCATATCATCAACATATATTTTTCTTCTTTCTCTATCTTCCCTATTCCTAACATAATCACATTTCCCAATGTCAGTCACGTGAGTTGCACATTCGTACAACTAAAATTACTCTATAGCAAAAACAAAAAAACAGCACAACTCATAATCAAACTAAAAATTTAGAGAACTTTCATAAAATTTAATTAAGAGTGACTATATAAACTCAAGGGTTTGGGGCCTAAAATATGATTCTTTTTAACTATCCTTCTTCGGGTGAAACAAGGTATACAATTGGTCATCCAACACACTTCATAATAAAAAAATGGTTCCATTCTAAAGTCTTATTTGAATAAACTTTTCAACAAACACCTATAGTATGTTCAAGTAATTTATAGAATTAGCTTATGCATACGCTAATTTGTAAAAGTTCTCACATTCAACCTTTCCAAAAACTAATTTGTGCACAAGTGAATTTCAACTTATGAAAAAAACTTAATTCATTTTACTTTTCCTATTATTGAGAAATTTATCTAAACAAGAGCTAAAACTGTCTTTTGAATGTCTAAGAATGAGTGTAATTGAATGAAGCGAAATGGAAAAGAAAAACAGCATAATATAAAGCAGAACGGAGCAGAGTTGGAATTTAATTAGAATGCACCAACAGTGTAAGGATCTTTTATACAATCATGCATTATAATGTCGGTAAGGTTGATGACTTTTCTCATAACCAATTCAAAAGTCATATCTAGGACCATTTATAAAATATTGATTGTACACACAATGTCTGAAAATTAAACTAAGTTATAATGCTATATAGTTTAGACATTTTTAAACAAAATAACTAAAACTAACTTCACCATCCAAATATAGATCAATTCCATGACAAAACAAAAGCTGCAAGTTCCACACAGTACTCTAACCAATTTAAACAATGCGATTGAAACATAACCCAAACCAAAACAACTTCAGAGAGGTTTCACCTTCTTGGTACGCGTTTTTATCTCCGATTTGCGAGCTTTGTTGTAAATGCGGCGGTTCTCCGCTTGTCGAGCTCTCTTCACGGCAGAGTCTACCTTCTTCTTGGGAGCAGCCTCGCAAACCACAGAAGCGCGTCTCTGCACTGTGCTCAGCGGCAAGCAGTTACCTGAAACCAAACCAAACCCGACACAGACCCACAATTGAAAACTCCACAAAAGTCGAATATTTTGTGTTTTCTGATGAAAATATGGGAGAAAAGAGAAGCCCCATCAAATGGGGTGGTTGGTGAAAGGTACCTTGTGAGAAGAGAGGGTGTGAGAGGGTTTTGGAGAAACTGAGAGAAGTGGAATTGGAAATGGAAAGGGAAGAGGAAGAGGAAGTGAGGGAAAGGTTCCTCATTTGGGAGGGAAGGGTTAGCCATGAGCATGAAACTGCTGCTGCCATATCTGTGTGTGTGTGTGAGTGAGTGAAGAGGCAATTCTCTCTCTTTATCCGTTGTGAAGAGATGACGATGATTGTTACTTGTCGAAGGTTCTATATGATATTTACATACTACCCATACTACCCTTACTCATTTCTCTATTTTCATTCAAAAATGATAGATCGAAGGTAAACATTTTTTTCTTAAAAACATAAGATAGGAGTCAAGATGTGACATTATTATATATTAGTTATATGATAACAGAGAAAAAAAAACTATAAAGGAGATGAATTAATAGAAAAAAATGAAGTAAGTAATTATATATGATTCAATTGTAAAACATACAAAATTAAAATAATAAACATTCATTTTTATAAGTAAAGATATGACAAATAAATTCTTGAAAGAATTTTGGTGGTGTTTAGGTCTTATAATTGGTGAGGAAGGTCATTATAATTTATAATAGCGTTAGAGGAGTAATTGTGTTCGGTCAACACATTCATAGTTCAGGTTTTTGTCATGGTTTTTTTTTCTTGCCTTTGAAGTTTGTTCCTATTTTTCAAATCCACTTTTATGGTTTTGTAAGAGTGGGCTAATCATGATTTCTCTAAAGGTGCATAACAAACGTTTTTCTTTTATTCATGTTTTTTGTTTAACGAGATCTTGTATTATTTTATTAAATTTTGGATTTGATTGTTGAAGGCTTAGGATTGAGTTTTGTTTGTGTTTAGGCAGGATATTTTGGAACTAACTTTTGTGTTCCACCATGGAGGAAGGTTTTGAGAAATGAGGTTGGGTTGGTGGAATACATGGGGTGGGAAGAATTACAATGAGGTTGGTGACATGTATTTTCATCACAAGGTTAGCTATGGAAGAATTATACCCAATTGAAATTGTAAATGATGATGATATTCAATTTTTTTTAAGTTATGATCTTGAAAACCGAGTGGAAAATTGGTGTCTACTTCGATCATAAACCTGATCCTACTCACGCAATATTTGATAACGAAAGAAAGGAACAAGAAAGCGAGGAAGAACAAGTTGAAAAAGAAAGAGAAAATTCCAATCAAGAATGTGACCCCAATGTAGTAAGAGTCGATGAAATAGAAGAACCTGAAGATCATTACGCTTGTGTTAATGTCTAAGAATTAAAAATATATATAGAAAAATATAATATTAGTACTAGAAAGTGCTTGAAAATCTACAATGACATTTCTTCTATAAAAAATGTGACATTCCTAATGTAAAATATAAAACTCCTTCACCTCCGACTCATACTCAAAACACAAATTTATCTAATATTTGAAAATGTTGCCAAAACGATATTAAAACATAACTGGAAAAATAACTATTTGCAAGAGTTGAACAAAGAAATTTGGGAAGAAAAGAAAAAAAGATATCTTAGTAACTCAGGTCTATAAACTAGAATCTTTCAGCAGTCTTCACAGCAGGTTGAGATTCACTACGGCTCCTAACAAGATATGGACCCATTTGAACAGCTTGCTGCAACTGCATGCAAGATTACTGAATTACTAAATTGTATATTTAATAAAAATACAGTCAAACAAACATGAATTCTGTTACTTTGATTGATTGTGTCAAATTTTGTCAGAATTGAAAGTACATATTATAGGATGGTGCATATGAATGAAGTATCTAAATCTAACCTTGGCATATATTTCTTTAAAAGCAGAAACTCTATCAGAAAGTGTCAATGATTGGTATATAGCCTTGCAGCAGTTATATCTGGCTTCCATACCTGAAATGATCCACTTCAAGTGATGTTAATGCCACAGTTGGAACAAAGTAATGGAAAAACATATAATATATCACTAATATAATTAACAATAATGTAAATTATAGTACATACCTATTTTCGTGGTTTCAGTAGTTGGATTAGTCACTTTGTTTATAATATCATCTTTTGAGCATATCTCTATCAAGCACCAAGGTCGGGCAACTAATCCACATAACATTCTATACACCTGAAAATGTATTGAAAAAAATTGTTTTAGTAATTTTTTTCATGGATAATTATGTGGAGAGAAAATATATGATGAGAAATTTTGTTGTAAAATATAATCAATAGATTACACTACCTCTATTCCTTTATCTAAAAATCAAATGAAAGTATTTGTTTTTTCCTGATGATAAGAAATCATGAAACATTCACTCATTTCCCATGAGACTGAAATGCTCTTGTTGGGTTACTAACCATATAAGTCGCATCTTTTGGTTGAGTTTTTCTTTTCTTAAATTATGAGTAATGTCAATAAATATAACCACTACTTAAACAAGATTAAACTTAATTCCATGTGTGTTTTTGAAATAAAATTTAAATATATTAAATTATTAATTAAAGTAAACTAATTGAACTACTTTTATTGATCTTAATAAATTGGGTATTTATTTCTTATAACATAAGACAAGGGTAGTATTAGAATATAAACATATATAACTTGTTTAAGTGATCATACCTAAGATTATTAATTAACTTCTAATCTTAATCATTCATGTATAATTGTATACAACAAACCTTATCCCACAAGATGAGGCCTGCTACATGGATCACTCAAAGCAGTTCAACACAGCTAAAACTCAAATTTCTCAATTTACATTCTTAAAACGAGAATTATTACTAGATATTATAGTCCTAAGTGCATCATTATTGATTGTTATGCTTCTGGCAATGGCATTGGCATCCAACAAAATCACCTAAACTGATTGACTTCTAAAGTATGTACCAAGGAAATTATTAAATAATTCAGAGCATATAAACTAACAATAAGAAAGTTCATATAAATGTCTCACCGCTAGACGTATTTCTGCATCCTGCTGCAGTACAGAGAGAAACAGACCCTGCAAATTGCATGAACTTGGTGAGAGGGTACTAGTTCAATGTTTAAATAAAAAGTTCTCATGCAAGACAACTCAACAAACATTGTAGACTTAATGAAATTTGATTCTGGGAGGACAAAGGTAGAGGGTACGTGCATTTATAACTGATTGATAAAGATGCTGCCTCTACTAATAAGGGGCAAATTACTATTTAATCAACAGTCACTTGTTAGGTAAGCTTCTGTAAACATATTTTTTGTAATGTGCCTATATCAAGATGAAATCTTCACTATGTAGCTAATATTTATCTTAAATTACTTTCCATATAGTGAAAATGGTACCCATCAAAGGAAAGAGAGAAGCAAAAATAGGCATTCTTCAGTAAAAAATTAATACAAAAAATACACAGCATATGTACTATATAAATGATCATCGGCGTGATTTGCTTTTAGTTTTTAACAAGTAGTTGGGACGAACCTACAGCTTAGCTAAAGTTTCACATACATCCCTGTCCCTTTAGTTAAAAAAGAAACTAAATCATTATAAATATAACTTAAAAATAATTAACCATAAAAAACATTTGAAACTAAAAAGAATGTAGAAAGGTAACCAATGGTGTCAGCTTTGAACTTCTGGAGGCTGTTTCATAAATTAAGCGTCGCAGGTTTTCTTCTGCTTCAGCATTGAGTATGATGTTATTCTTAGATCTGGTTTCTCCCGATATGTTTCCGAGAGCATGTAATGCAGCCTGTGATTGCATAATAAACCATGTAAGTTAGAACTTAAAAGAGAAGTTATCAGCATATAACATTTTCCAAGTAAAATGCAATTCCTATTTTTTCTATAATCGAGAACAATTACAAATTATTCAACTAATGCATTTTCTTTTGAACACCAGATCAGAGATTGATGGAGACAGACAAACATGTTACAATCAACTGGTTATTCTGATGAATCCTTAAATAGATGCTGTAAACCTAGAGAGCAAACACTTTGAAGATTCAGAACATTACTAACCAACATTTCTTGCAGCAAATTGCATCAATGAACCCTAAATACAGTTTCAGCTATTTTCAACTTTGAGGTCTATACAGTCCTTCAGGCTGCCTAAGCAAGCAATTGATCACAACATACTTGGGATTATCAAATTACAGTAGTTTAGGATACCTTAAAATCTTTCAAAAAGAAAAGGAGAACAAGAATGAAGTTCACTAACCAGCTGTTTACCATGCCCTAGTGGTCCTCGGCGTTCAAAAGCAGCATCTATAACATGTCTTGCAGCAGGTGATGAACCTGAGAGTAGTAATGTAGCTCCCTGGGTAGCTATGATCACAAAAAACCATAAATTAACATTCGTAGTATTAAAAAGGAAGAGGTTCTCATTAAAATAATTATCAATAAGGAAATATAAACTGATAATCAAATGGTTTGGATATGATACAGAATCATATATGCACTTCTATATGTTATGATGATATCATAAATCACTGATTCAAAATGTACAGATGTGTAATGGATTGTGAAGTCAATTGGCATATTTAGAGTAAAGGGAAGCATTTCCCAGAACCTAGAAGGCTGGGTGTTGCAAGCATTTTCTGACAATAAGTTTGACCTAATGCTTTGAAAAAATTCCAGTGTTCACATTTGGTGTTTCAGGAAGAGGATGGATTGGAAGGGTAGGGTTTGTGGAAGTATGAGTAGTTTAGGGGTTTGTTACGCCTTTCATTGAATGTAATGCAATATAGAATTTTATCCATTCAAAACTTATCCGTATGTTTGTTTAAAATTTAAAACAACGGAGATTGATACAATTTGTCAGATCCAAGGTGAGATCTTTGTAACTTAGCACATGATAGCACCAGTATAGTGGGCATTGCATCACATGCACCCCACAGCATGGGGTCATATTGCACCCCCTTGGCCTCCTGTTTACTTACTGCAGAACATTCTCTGGTCACAAACATAGCAGCGCAAAACACATCCTGCTTTATGGCAAATCAAAGCCATCTCAAGCAATTCTCACACAGTAAAAAAAAATTGGCCCACTATTGGCATTGTTTGAGCTATCTTAGGGAGAAATCTTGAGATTTCAACCCTTCCTCTTTTAACTTACCAGAACCAAAACCATATTCTTCCCCTTTCAACTCCATTTGCACACCCCATACAGGGTCAGACCAGGGCCCTTCTTTGTAAAGGACCCAGATCTCTGGAATTTCCAGTGTCACTGCATTTTTCCAGCGGTACAGTTTCCTGTAGAGCAGTGGCTACATAGGAACAAGCACAAGTGTATGCTGCAATGAAGACCTACTTTCTATAGTGATATTTCCAGCATCCCACAGCAGTTTCTGTCCAATCCACAGCACGTGGAACTCTGGCACACAGTTGTATGGTCTGTACTCTGTAATGTTCTGTTTTATTTCATTTGTTTTTTCTCTTTCTTCCTTTGTTGTTGTGTTCAGATTGGTAACCTATGTTGCCCTTCCTTGCTATACTTTTTGCTTATTTTATATTACTCGACTCTTCTTGTTATTAATTTCTGTATTTGGCTTAAAATTATGAATCTTTTGATTGGGCATTTATATGTAATATAAATTATTAATTTATATTTATAAAACTCATAAGCGGTCAGCCCACTATCCTACAATAGCACTTTTTGGGGGTCACTCTATTGTTATCTGAGATTGATAACTGTGAGCACGAGACAAGTATAATTTAATCAACTAAAATCAGTTTTCCTACTTGATACACAAAACGTGTTAAAAAGCAGGCAGTGATAATGTGACATACTTACATGATCCTATATGACCCAATGATTCAAGTGCAGTTTCACATTCATCTCTATTTGAAGGATCCAACGACTGAAGTCTATCATCAATAGATGAAATAACAGCTTTAACACCTGAATTTATCAATTTAATAGCACAACAAATATACATGAGTTAATAGTTTCAATATCTCCCCTAACAATCATCAAATTGTGTTGAAAGCACATGCACATTTTGAAAATGAAGTGGAACACCCCCTGCAAGTTAACACCCTTTGCCATAATTTGCATTATATTTAGTAGTTTCTTCCTCTTGGATAATAAGTATAAAAAATTCCAATATCTTGCAACAAATAATAGAGAGAAATGGTTAGCAGTGCAACACTTACAAGGTTCATCTGTGAAGGAGTGTATAATGTCCTTCGGAAGTATCCTTCCACTTATCATCATTGCCCTTGATCTTAAAATTGATTCCGCAGAATTGTTGCTATCCTCAACAAAAAGGGATGTCCTTTTATCAGGAAATAACTTTCATAACATCCATTAGATGAATAAAAATTCTCTAGAAGATCATAAATGATTACCTAATCATTGACGAAAGCAATTGAAAGAGGCTAGTCTTTGACAAAAATTCTGTACTATGTTCAATCGTTGCTAACTGCATCCAAATACACACACAGTTAGAATGAAAACAAGTTCATGCAATGTGAACTGGAAAAGAGCAAAACAACTTATATAGTTGCTACTGTTGAGTTCCTGAATTTCATATCTGTTTACATGTGTGATGGGATTATTCTGGTTTGGTTTATCCAGGGAATCACTTCTGCATAGTCTAACCAGGAAAATCACTTTTACCGGATAATAATGCACACTATTGTGATATTTATTAGCATGATTGTCAGGTTTAATCCCATTAGTTTCCATGCAAAACAATCAATTTTATGTTACCCGTAAGTGTTTGTCCATGAGAGGGGTGCTAGTAACACACTCTCTTATTGGTTAAAATTTATTGAAAACTTCAAAATCATGAAAGTGGTTCATTAAATAGGAGGACCTACAAAATTTTATGATTTCCATAGATTTAACGAATAGGAGAGATTGTGTCAAAAGAGTGTATTAGATAGTGTTACATTTTCTGGTCCTGTGGATATAACGATATATTATGATAAAGTAACTAAATATAGTGAATATGCACAAGTTAAAGGATAATTATACATCTTTAAATGATAATAAGAGGAGGGAACAGTTACCTCATATAGAAGCTCCAAAACACTTAAAGTTACAAGGGTATCATCTGCATTTTTTATTTCTGCTTCCAGTAATTTAAGTAGATTTAAGCTATAAATTGTAGATGCTACCGATCTTGAAACAGAAAAAAGCTTCACCACTAATGCCAGCACACGAACTCGACCCTAAATCAGAACATTAAAAAGTTATACAGTAGCAAATTATGCACAAGGTGCGAGCATAACCTAAGATTATACATTTTAACTACAGATATATTTTTATAAATGGGGAACACCACGTGAACAACTTAATCACATATAACTATGTGCCTAACTCATAAAAACCTTTCCTATCTATAAATGACAAACAGATTACATACATATTTATAAAATGTTTTTATTATGAACATTTTTTATAAATATACTTAACCTTCTTCATAAAATGTTTTTGGAGGAAATTGTTTCCCCTAAATGCTTGTATTTTACCATATCTTTAATGAAACCCCACAAGTTTGAAAGTTCAACAGCTTTAATAATTTAGTTAGAAGATATATCTAAATATATTTAGACTTAAATTAAATCCAACTTTATCTATTTTATTTCTTAACACCTTCACTAAAGCAGGGGCAATGGGAGGAGATACTAAGCCTATAAGACGATCTAAAACTTAGAGAAAACACAATTGAACCAACTTTCTTAGCAATGCATGTTATACTTCAAATATTTTCATCAATTTAAAAACATAGCCTAAACCATCCATAAGAATATAATTGTCCCGCTGAAAGAAGAGCATTCTTGAAACTGAGATAGGTTAGAAGATCCAGAAGGATATATTATTTATATAACTACACATCAAAAGATCACATGATGCAGCTGGGTCCCAAATACAACATACTCCTTGAAAACTAGGAATAGTCCTCCTGTGGTTTTAGTATTCAAAGAAGGAATAGTCCTCCTTGTGCTCAGAGTTCCTGCATTCAGCCTTCTGGTTCAGAAGATCCTAAATCTGTCATTGCAAATATCTCAGAAGTTAACCAGTTTCTGGTTTTCAAACCATAAACAAGGAACACCAATATATTTCATCAATGATCACTGGACTATCTCAAGACCAGTGGTGTCCCGTGAAGAAGGGATGGTGGCTATGTATGGCAGGGCGGGCATGGGCAGTAGGTGGCATGAAGGATGAGGTGCACACAATGGGCCTGGTTACGTGGATTCCATCGAGGGTAAGAGCAGTGGAATTGCATAAGGGTGTAATGGTTTGTAAACTTTGGGATTCTCTTTGTTTTGAAAAATTCATCACAAGCTTGGTTCAGAGTTTAGTTCCAATCTTCAAGATTTCAGTTTAAGACACAGAAAGCAAATTATTACACTAGCTCATGTAATCTCCACAAACCAGTCGTTGGGATGCTATTGTTTGAATATAACATATAATGATAGAAACTGAGTTTCGATAGAACTAATGAGAAAAACCAGAGAGTGCTCTGGTATAGAAATTATAGAGAAAGCAACACGAAATTAGAGAAGAAAAAATCCCCTGCCCTGGCAAATGCTACCCAAAAGCCATTCAAATGATTGCTTCCCCATTCCTGTCTCTCCAATTTCATCATATTCCCGCCTCCATTCACCAATTCCCATGTGCCTAAGTTGCTTTGATTCTCCATAACAGGCTTCTACCTAAAATTTTCCCATTTTATCCCTGATCTTTTTCTCCCTTCAACAGTATACTTTCATTAGAGGCCTATGAGACAAGGTCCATCATATATACTAAGTACACAATGGATCAAGGTTTAGAAAAAGAAGGATGAAGATAAAGAAAACACTCATAATAAGATAGTATTATACAATGCAAATTAGGTCACGTCTCCAATTAATAGACAATCTACACTGTATACAGTCAAAGAGATTATTTTGTATCATAAAATAGTAAGGACTAAGGACATTGTACTTGTTAAATCAAGTGTGAAAGCTGAATATAGAGCTATCTGTGACCATATCTACTTGTGAGCTCATTAGGATAAACAATTCCTTCAAGAATAAAAATTTGGAAAAAAATTCAAACAAATAAGGTTGTGTTATGATAGCCAAGAAACAAAGCATATAGCTACCAATCTAATTTTTCAAAAAAGAGCTAAGTATATGAAAATATAGTGCAACTTTTACAAGAAAAATCTCTTCCCAAGAAATTCTGACAATTAATTTAGGAGGGAGGAGACAATATATTCGTTGTAGCAAGCTTGGAATACATGGTTTATGTGCTCCAACTTGGAGATGGAAGTGATGGAAATGATAACAGTAGGTTTTTTAGCTTTGGAAACAATAGGAATTTACAAAACATTAGAATATTCGAAAATAATTAAATTCTTCATTATTCTTGTAAATATAAATTGTATTTATATTCTTATGTATATAAATATCAGAATGCCGACTGAAAAACACTCAAGCATGCAGAAGTTTCTTTAAATTTACTCTCAAATCCAATGAAGCAATAGACCAAATCATTTGCTAGAGCTTTACCATGTATTCAAGGTAAATCCCATAGTTTACATATTAATGTATTGAATAAAAAATACAAACCCATGCATTAACATATAAGTTACCATACCAGAGATGAAGATTGTGATGCTATACGCTCCAGATCTGTCTCACCTACTTTGGCAGATGGAAAGATAATTTCCTACAATAGCATAGCATGCCAGCAAGCAACCATGAAGGAGATGGTTTTACTATTTTCCTTTCATACAAGCGAAAGATAATTATGTGACTTAAGAAAAGAGTTTGCTTACCATGCCTTCAGGAAAACCAGCTAACTTTTTTATTGCATCTGTTGCCACAGCTGCCACTTGTTCATCGCTGCTTATGGGAAATAGTATGTAATCAAAAGATCAATTATATAAGCGAACTCAAAAAAGAAAAGTGTATTTAAATTATTAGCCAGCAAACAGATCTAACCAAATATATGTAAAGTATAAAGGACAAGTAATTATGGAACCCTCTGAAAAAGCATCTCCTGACCACTGTAGAAGAAGGGTCCTTTACTGGAATCCTGATTTATTGCTTCATGTTAAACTAGTCTCAACTCTCAAACCGACATCAATAAATATCACTTCTAACCAGTAGACCCTGCTCTTGCAACGAAATAGCAACTTATACCGGAATTGTTGTGTTTACTTTATCATACATGAAGACAGAGGAAGTCATGCATATCATTACAAAGTACCGTCAGACCAGTAATAAATAATCTCATGTAAGTTCCCATTAGAGATATGGTTACATCCAATAACTAGAATCTCATATAATATCTAGACGTGTCAGGTGAACCAACATTCTCAAGTACAAGCTTTCACCCACTTTCATAAAGGTGAGCGTGCCTATAAATAGGACGTTCACACACCTCTTCACCCCTGGGCACTGTTCCAGACTCCGAGTGATCATTTTGATTGTCCGTTTAGGCAAAAAATCAGTTAAGGAAGTCTCCTTTGAGACATCTGGCTCTTTACGGAGGTCATGGATTTGATGCTAACACCATGAAAGGGGTCCCATTTTCTCTATTTTTATGTATTTATATTTATTTTTCTAGGTTGTCGTATGATCATTCTATGCTAATGCAACAAACAAATGCAACTGTTAAGGTTCCAACATAAAACCAATTGACAATACGTAGAATAGCCTAACATATATTTAAACTATACCAACTGACATGAAGTAGGCGATGTGGGACTTCCAACACGCTCCCTCCAACGAAGCCTGCCGGACCAGGCAAAAGGTACTTTTGACCCAACTAAAGGACAACTTTTGGCCCATGACAATAACCGAAAAGATGTTAGGTTTGGCTCTGATACCATGTTAAGGTTCCAACATATAACCAATTGGCAATACGTGGATTAGCCTAACATGTATTTAAACCATACCAAATGACATGAGGTAGGCAATGTGGGACTTCCAACAGCAACAAACATATGCTCAAACAATTCACTCATCCACGAACAAAATGACGACATTTAATCACGAGGTAGGGGGTATCCTATAGAAAAGTGCATAGTCAAGGTAGGTTCTAACTATTCTCACCAAGGCCAGGTCCCCAAGGTGCCCCCATTATCTCCCCGCGTCTCTCAGCCCTCAAACCTTGTGTGGCTCAAAGGTCGTGTCGACGTCCTGCAGATTGAGAGAGGAGGGTTATCACCTTGACTGGTAGTTTTCGACAACGACCTACTGACACTAGGACCATTACCACGGTCGGCCGTACATGCCACCCACTCCCTAAGATTTATCACTCATGCCCCCGAGTATAGAGGGACTATTGTGTGCAATGGTTGTGTACAGTTTATTTCAAACGACTGCGGAAAATAACCATACAACAGTTATTAAAGTCATACAAATAAAACATGTTATACATACAAAGAAGGGTAAAAGCGTAATTTCAAATCTTTTATTTTCTTTAAATTAATCCACCACTAAATAGGATCAACTCTCTAAGCTCCCCCAGTGGAGTCGCCATCTGTCGCCGCTGTCCCCCGCCCGGCAAGGCGTGGGGAGCGAAATGGTGCGAGCGGTCGCGACACGATGGCTGAATCTCACGTTTTCGTAAAATAGTTTGGTCATCACTTTTAGGATGCTCGATAACCAAACTAACTTTAAAAGTGAGGCTTTCGCAAAAATGGGTTTTATGGAGTCGCCACCAATGTTTTAACCATAAACATTGAAAAAGGATAAAAAAGGTGTTGGTTAAAAAAAACCAACCTTGACCATTATAACCAGAGTCGGGTAAGGGAGTTAGTTACGCGTGGAGAAAATGTTAGCAACCCACAACACCCATTTCGGGTTCCCTCTGATGGATTAATTCATAAAATAAAGATTTTTTTAGAAATTATGTTTTTACCCTTTTCATTTATTTATTTGCAATATTTATCTAAATGTCTACATGACCCTAATTTCTAATGCACACGAAGGAAAGCGATAAAAGATTAAGGGTTTGAGAAGAACCTCCGAAACGAACTTTTATAAACTTTTAAACTTGAGGACGTTTTTTGGCAATCTCTTGGCACTACACGAACACTCCTCCCTCGAACAAATAAAAATTTAAACTGCCGAGAGCCGGATGTCTCAAAGGAGACTTCCTTAACCGATTTTTTGCCTAAACGAACAATTGAAATGATCACTCGGAATCTGGAATAGTGCCCAGAGGTGAAGAGGTTTGTGAAACAATGAGGTTTGACGTGCATGCTCACCAAAGAGATCGGGACGGCCGTCCCGAATTTGTCAGGCGGGACGGTCGTCTCAATTTCATATTCATGCGTATCTTATATTGTGTCATCTTAAACAATTAGAAATGAAAATGAATGAAATATCAAGCACCTCGTTTGATTGAATTCTTAACTAGTTAAGCTGTAAGTGGCAGTAAATCACTCAATCAAACCATATCCCTTACCTATTTGTAGGTAATACAAAAATTGGCACACTCATGTTATTGCAATAAGCACTTCAGCAAAGCAAGAATGATGAGGAAATCAAAATACTCTCTACTTACCCCTGTATGAGGCAATCGAGCAAAAGAGGATATATGTTGAAGTCTTTAATTTGACGAACACTGGCAGCAACTTTGTCATCATTGTCAATATCCTCCAGGAGGCGATAGATCTGAAAGTTATAAAAGTTATATTGCTGAAAAGTGATACATAAGTAGTAATTTGCATATGTAAAAATATCTAGCCAAAATTATTTCCAAATTTATAAATTTGTAGGAAATAGGTATATTTTAAAAGATAAGAACTTTTTTAATGTTTATTTTTCCAAGTTACCCAGATACTTGGTATAGCTAGGTTCAATGTATAATAGGAAATAGTGGTCTCTTAATTGTTCTCATGAAAACTGTTTTGGCGTAAATTATCTTTGTAATTTTCTTGCATATTAATAAATCCATTCTGCTGGGTAAAATTATCACTCAAGCATATGAATAAAATATTTGTTTCTCCTATAACAAAATTCATAGGTGATTGATTTATGAAACCATTTCTATTCCATTTCATAAATCAGCATATACAACTTGGAATGAATGCTTCATTAAATATTAAATACCAATGCACAGCCACATGGCCAGCATCCTTTAATAAGGAGAAGCACCAGAGTGGACTAGGACAAAAGGTTTGATAAGAGAAGGATTTAAATAAACTTGGCATATATAAAGCATATCCACGTACTGTTTTGCAAGTTAAGGATCTGACTGCTTGAGAATCTGCCTGCAGACCAACTTGAACAAAAGGCTGAACCAAAACCAAAATAAAAACAATAAGAATAGTCATTACAATAATAACATAATATAACAGAAGAAATGGCACAGAACTTTGTGTATGCAGAATGAAAATTGTTTGCTAATGATTCAAATGTTGCTGTTTCTGTAATACTGAAACATTCTATGAAGATAGAAAATCATTATATAAAATTAAAAATAAAACTAATATCCAATGTTTTATATCGTAATGGATAAAAAGACAAGGAACAAAGACAAAGGTTTAAATAAACATTCCATTCCCCCGTAGATATCATAATGATCAATTTACTCATCACAGAGAGAGATAGAAACTCTAGTTCAATCAATTTTTCAGTGCAAAAGAAACAGAAACAACAAAATTAAGTCAACTATTGCTAGCTCATTTTTGTGAATTAATTTAAAAAAAAAAAAACTTATCCAGCTAGAACTATAAATAGATAGGTTTTTGGCAAAACAAATTATATAGTTCATTTTAAAAAATAGTTTGCTTGGGCGTGAGCAAACTATATTCCACTAACAATTTAGAAAACAAAAAAAGAAAGAATGAGCTAATCACAAACCATATATTGCGGGATGAAAGAAGCACCCAACTTCGTATTGAATAACTTTTCAAGGCATGCAACAAGAGTATTTTCTAGGTCAGGCACGTCAAACCGAGTCTGTAGTGCACTGCAAAATCAAACGAGAAAATCAAGAGAAAATTTCTCCAGAAGGATGTATTATGCCATTGAATCAACACTGAACACAATCCCAGCTTTATTTCATGACCAAGAATTTAACAAACAAACAAAAAAACTACAACACTGTACAGACATAATTAAGCTTGAAAATTAGTTCTCCACTGATCTAGACTCTAAAACTAAATCAATTTTTTTTTTTCAAATACGTGAAAGGACTTGATTTGTCAAAGTACAATGTGCCCAAGAGAACAATGAGTTCTATAGTTCTACTCAAAATGCATTCAATTCACGTCAAGAAGATTCTGAATGCACACAAGTCTTAATCATGTCAATCCTAAACACCTAGCAAAATTTAACATAAAAATCAAATAAATTTCCATTTTTTTCAGACACCAACACTTCTTTTTTTGCTTTTTGAAGAACAATCCTATGCATCCACTCACAAATACCCCCATTACAAATCAAGGAAACACTCCAATAAGCAGCAAAACATAAAACGAGGAAAAGGGTACAAGAAAAGTGAGAAACAGAAGCAAACTTGATAATGAGTGTCAGAGGGAAGCGATTGAGAAAGTCCCTAGCGGAATCATTGCTTTGCGCCCCTGAAATCGAACCAATGTTACCCACAAAGTGAATAAAGTGATAATCAAAAAGGAAGAAAGTGAAGAACAGGGAAATTAGCGACCTGGGTAGTGACCAAAAACATAAGCTGCTTCGAGAAGTTGAGATAGATCGTCCATGGCTTGAGTCGCGGTGACTGAGTAACAGAAATGAAACGTTAAAGAGCGAAGAAATACAAAAACAAGAGGTGGCAACAAGTGTGTTCTACGTGTAACGCAGATATAAACTGAAAACAAAAACAAACAAAAAATATTGTTTTGCTCATCAGGTGAATTAAAATATAATCTTTTTATAGAATATTCTAAACATAATTTGTGATTATTGTAATTTAGTTTTTAATTTTAAATTTTAACATCTTTAAAATTTAAAATTTGCGTATTTTATTTGATCCCACAGTAGATGGTCTGTGATATACCCGAGATATAAATGATTAAAATTTATTTAACACAACTTCCCCTTTTTATTATAAAATAAAAGGAGATAGTTCAAATCCTTTTAAATAGATTCATGATGATGTGCATAAATTTTTTTATATTTTTCTTCTTTCAACGTGGATTTAAAATTATTTTTTTAATTTCAAAATTATACTATAATGTGTGTACATGATTCATCAATTTTAATAGCATAGTTTTGAAAATGTTATTATGTAGTTAAGATTTTATATGGTAAAATAATTTTAATTATTTTTTTATTAAAAAATAAGATTACTCAATTTATGTTTAATAAATTTTTTTATGTAAAATGTTGGAAGTGAGTACGAGAGGCAAATACTCACGTAAAAGATTCACCTATTGGTCGCAGTACTGAGAAAAATACTCAAACATGTTATTTTCTTGATCAATTATATTATAACACCTTATTAGGAAATCATCTCATCCTACAAGCGATTACACGATAAGCTTTTTAATCTGAGTGATCTTCATATTTTTAGTTGTCATTCTTATATTAGCATTATTACTGTCCATAGAAAGAAGTTAGATAATCAAGTCCATCCAAAGTATTTTTCTTGGACTACATTCTTTATAATATCAAGACTAACAATGTTGAGGTTTCCTGAAATATATTTTTTTATGAAAATGTTTTCCCTTTCAATAAAGAAAAATAGTGAAATTATCAATCGACATATTATGTCTATTATGTTTAATTTCTATGATGACAACGTTGATCATAATGACATCACTCATATACATATGGTACTTGATAGGGATAATAATTAAACTCATACATGTGAGAATCGATTGGTTTTTACCCCAAGTTTAACGGGAAAAATCAAGTTCACTGAGGGTGGATTCAAGTTTTCCCCATTTTAAAAAGTCTAGAGCAGACCGGGATGAGTAATATAATCCTCACCTTGGTCTCATCTTCGTCCCCGTCCTCGCTCCCGCCTTTATATTTAAATTTAAATCCTAAAATTTTAATATTTTTAAAATATTTCATTTTCTTTCCCATATTATATACAAATTTATTTTTCTATATTTCACTATAATTACTTTTTTTTTTCATTTTTCACTCTTTTGACTTTTTCAATTTTTTAGATCAACCAGTTCTTTTTATTGTTCTCTTCTTCTTATCTTTGGTTTCTTCCTATTTTCTCAATTTCTTCAATCAATTTGATTTTTCCAATCTTTTTAATGAATTTGCCAAATACAAAGTTAATTTTTCTTATTTTTTATCTTTTTCTAAATATTCTACATCAATCTTAGTAGTAACTAATATTACTTTATTTTTAATTTATCTATATTATATTATATTTTTTGGATTTTATTATTCCTATTTGTTATTATCAAATTTTCTTAATAAAATAATTATATTTTGAAGGATAAAAAAGAATTGATAATTAAAACTTTTATCATTCTAAACTAATTAAATAAGAATTAACTTATTAAATATTTTCTTATATTTTATATTTATAAATAATTTAAAATGATATCTTAAAAATAAATTAACTTTATATATATATATATATAACTAAATATTTAAATACAGTGTTATAATATATATAATAATATTATTATTATTATAAGTATTTTATATTTGTATAAAGGAAAAAACATTATTTTTCATACATATTTTATTATAAATATAATAAATTAAAGTATATACTTAATTAATAATAATAACTAAATTTATTATTAGTATAATTATTTTTTTGAAATAATATGGAACGGGGACGAATCATGGGCGAGGAAATCTGAAATCCAACGAGAATGAAGATGAAGATATAATTTCTAACTCTTACGAGAATTGGAAGTGGGAACAAGGACAGTTAAAAAAGTCAGGACGAATGTCAAAGAGGCAAAATTGTCCCCATCTCGTTATCATGCCTAATACTTGATTTATGACGATATCTTTAATAATAATGATGCTTGAAATTATAACAAAGTTTTCTTTGATGACACTCAAACTTATGATAATATTGATGTCAATATTAAGGGTGCTAGATCTCTTGACAAAGTTTTTAGCATAATCAATTATGTTAGGCCTCCCGTCAATGCCTCTAGCACTGTTGACCATAATCGATTTGTTGGCAATGCTAATATCATTGAAAATGCTAAATCTTCTAGTGATGTTAAATTACTCACCATTAGAAAGACAAATAAAGTCAAATGGTCCATGAGTTACCTTAAAGAATACCATTTTACCAACACAAGTATTCACTCCTATTACAAACTACATATCTAATAAAAAATTATCTACTTCATTCCAAAGGTTGATCATGAACATCAACATTAACACCGAGTCAACTTCCTACAAAGAAGCATGTCAGAATGAACATTAGGTAAAAGACATGATAGATGAATTAGACTTGAATAAGAATTGAACTTCCTTTGAATAATTTGGCTATCAACTGTAAGCGGGTACAAAAAATAAAATACAAAGTTAATGACTTCATCAATAAATACAAAGCAAGGCTTGTAACACAAGGTTACACTCAATGACAGGGACTCGATTATAATGAGACCTTCTTCCCTATAGTAAAAATGACCATTGTTTGGAGTTACTCTCCTTAGTTATGATCTACAATTAGCACTGATAAGTATCAAATATTCATATTTTTATGCTTAATTATGACATTTATCTCATGTAATTTTTAAGGAATCAGTACTAAAAACTCCTAATAGTATCTAATTGTTCACATTTTGAGTGTTGAAGAGTAAATAGTCAAACTTATGCAATTTTGTGTCAAAATGCAGGTAATGATAAGGAGAGAGCAACACTAGGCTTAAGATGCTGAGCGAATTCTCATCCGCTAAGCAAAAATCAGACAGAGGTGACCATTTTAAGGGAACAAAAACCACTCAGTGATTCTACATCCGCTCAGCGGTTCTGAATCTGCTGAGCGAATTCGTGCCAGAGAGCAACCCTTTTTGAAAAGATAAAAACATTCAGCAATTCTGAATCCACTAAGAAAATTCGTACCAGAGAGCAAACACTTTTGAAAGAGTAAAAGTGCTCAAAGGACAGGAATCCACAGAGCGGATGAAAAACTTTAGAATGAAGAAACGAGCGCTAAGCGGATGGATTAAAAGGCTGTGAAGTTCCTTGGATATAAATAGAAAAACTGAAAAGAAAAAGATGAGAGGTGGATGCTAGAAGAAAAAGAGAGTACACTTCTAAGAACCAGGGTTAGAGATAGAGGTTGGCTAGATTTGAGCTCTCTTTCTTGTACATTTAGGATTTCTCTTATCATGTGTTGCTAATTTCTCTCGTTGTTGGATTAGATGTAACTATTTAACTATTCTAAAACTCTATTGTTATATATATATATATATATATATATATATATATATATATATATATATATATTTCTTTCCCCAGTATTAATTTGGTTCTGTTTTAAGGCTTGGATTTAGAGGATCTTATTCAAACCAATTTGAAACCTTAACTATTGGGAACAAAAGTTGAGATTACTGATACATGAAGTTTGTGTCTAATGTAAAGATTTTAACCAGTTTATCAAGGAACTGATTGGTTGATTAGGATTCTTAGAACTCCATTACTAAAAAATTAATATGGAATGAATACTTATTACTTCAACTGAAAATGAAATTCATGCATATATAGGTAATAGGTTGCATATTTGTTATCGGAGAAATCCAATTCAACAGTTTACCTCATTGCATTTTCTGTACTAATCATATCTACCTCAATCATTTCAATCATATAATCATTATCTAAAGTTATTGTTTGATTTAATTAAAATTGGAATTAACATATATATGCAAAGTCTATGAGAACATGACAACCATTTTTACAGTTGTACTACAGTTGACTTGGTCCACTTGTCGAGAGAAAAAACTAACAAGCATATAAAAAATTTATGTCAACAATGTCTTCCTGCATGACAACATAGATGAGGAAATATACAAGAAATTTCCTCTTGATACCTTCTATAGTGCACAAAAGGTTTGTTGTCTTCATAAATCTCTTCACAGGTTAAAATAGTTTGTTCGCCAACGGTATACAAAACTCTCAATCTTTCTCATATCCAATAATTACAAACAATCATTTGTTGATCACTCACTATTTCTAAAGATTGTATGTACTATCATAACAACTCTCCTTATCTGTATGGATGACATTGTCTTAACCAAAAATAATATTGATGAAATATCTCATATTACTAGGAAAATGGACAAGATCTTCAAGATCAAAGACATGAGAAATCTCACCTACTTCCTTGGTTTTTTAAGTTACCCGAAATCGTTTTGGTTTGTATATCATAATGCAAGTACATTCTCGACCTCTTTACTGATAGTGGGATGCTAGCGCCCACCCTCATCTCCATTCCCATGAACTACTCCATGAATATTTTTATAAGTAACATCAACATCATTCCCAATTTGACCACTTACCAACAGCTCATGCTTCACCTTATCTATTTGACCAATACTAGACCAGATATCACTTATCTTGTTTATCAACTTAGTCAATTTGTCAAAGCTTCCATTGTGGCCCACCATCAAGTTGTCTAACGTGTTTTTCACTGCCTCAAACTCACACCAGGAAAAGGTATCTTCTTCGATAAAAATAGCAGCACTTAACTAAGAGTCTTTTGTGATTTTGATGTTCTACAAATGACTACATTATTTACCTTGACAATTCTCACATCTTTTGGCGCCATCATCTCAAAGAATTTGTTGAAGTTGAATACCGAGTTATTGCCTCCACTACTTGCGAATTATAGTGGCCGACATACCTTTTGGATTATCTAAGAGTACATTACGCTCAACATGCCTCACTATATTATGACAATCAGTTTGTCATCCAAATCGCTTCTAATCCAGTTTTTTATGAGCATACCAAATATATTAAGATAGATTATCCTATTGTTAAAGAAAAACTTCACAATAGACTCATAAAACTCTTTAATATTGACATCTTCACAAAAATTTTATCACATATTCGGTTCAATGATCTATGTTCTAAACTGAGATTGCTAAACATACACTTCGAACTTGCAAGGGACTTTTAACTTCCTTAGATCGATCAATTTTCGATACCCTAAATTGATTGTTTTTTGTATTAACTTCCTTAGGTCATTTTATTTTCGATATCCTATGTTAATCTTTTTTTTTTCTCATATGATGTATAATCGACTGGTTTTATTTATTACCATCAATATATAGGATTCTCTTATATTATATTATATACAATAATGTAAAATATTCTTTTGTTTTTTTTTTTCATGCTCATCTCTTTTTCTTCTTTTTTTTATGATTTATTACCAAATTTTTTAGAATTGTGATTCAGCGTTTAAAAATTCATAATATTACATGTATGAACATACACGAAGGAATTAAAATAAAAGAGAGTTAGATTATATATACAGACTGCAATTTGGTTCTTTAATTTTTTTTTCTTTTTTTATTTGTGTTGTCTCCACCGATTTTTTTTAATAATTATTTTTCAACCCCTTGTTTATTTAGTGTAATGATATGTATAAAACAAAAGGTATTTGATGAGAAGATTTATCTTTTTTAAGAAATATACTGTGTCAATTTAAGAGTTTTGGCTGAGAAAATTGAATTATTGAGGAAACAAGAGACAATTAATCTTAGGCATATGTTGAAATTTACTATAGAACAAAAATCAGTGTTATTGACTTAGGAGAATAATGATGGATAACGACAATGGATAAAAGAAAAGTAAAAGAAAGAAGAAGGGGTGAAGTCTAATAAAAAAATGTATGTAATATATCAATTTTTTTTTAATTTATACAAAAGAGATCAATTGACTAAAATAAAATATAATAAAATTAAAAAAAAAAACAAGTCAATATGGATCCGATGAAACAAATTAACAAAAAAATTGCTAAGTTAAAAAATACATCTAAATTGAAAAAATTCAATCAAATAAAAATAATTTTCAGTTTTAGTTTATTTTTATTTTTACTTAATTTTTAAAATTTATTTCGTTATAAACAAATTTAAATTTCTATACAACTTCCAATGAAACTAACATTTGAAGTAATATCAGTGTAGAAACAAAATTAAAAATTAATATATCAATTTAAACATGAATAAATATGTTAAAAATTTGAATATTCATAATACAAGAACCTCAATTACATTATCGCTTATCGTATATTTTAATTTATTACAGCATAGAATTACATAATCAATATGTTTTAGTTTTAATTAATTATAATTTTATTCAAAAGTTTATCTTTAAAACTGGTTACATATTCAATATAATATGTTACTCAAAAAGCTTTGTTTTCCATCAAAATAATGTAATTGATTAATCCGAATTGCAATTGAATTTATTCGTCAAAATATTATGTGATTAATTATTTCGTATTTTTCAAAATACGACAGAGAGATTTTCCTTTTTTTTTTTTAAGAAAAACAAATCTCTTATGTAGTTCGTTACAAAAATCTTAATTACCTCAAACATTCATTAACCAAATTTCATTGAAAAAGAAGTTTATTTTCAAAATATGGGTAAGGTGATTTTATTGTCGAAAAATCTTTCACTTCTAAGTATTTAAGTTTTCCTTTTAATTTTTTTATTTATTAATTAATGTCATGTTTCTATATATGCTTAACAGTGTTACAGAAAAAATAACCACCCCTATGATGTGCTTAAAAACCAGAAACATTCAGTACTTCTAACATTAAGTCATAGGTGTTGAATTATAATGAATAGATTTTTCCTTCATGTTCGTGTAACTGAAGCCAAGATTCCAAGGTTATCAGTTTACAGCTTGAAACCATTTAGAACATTGTTTTTCAGGTTAACTGACAAGTCATATATAGCTTTTACATTTTTAAGCAAAAATATATTTTTTTTCCCCTTTGGTAACAGATTTCTAAATAGAATAAGATCAAAATATATTCATCCAAGAAAAGGGTAAAAGAAATATGTGTTTTCTTTCACAAACAATAACTATAGTACAGCAAAAAGAAACCCAGTAGAAAATTAGAGGTGGAAACCAAAATAAAGAAAGAAGAAAGAGAAAAAAGAGCCCATTTCTCTAGCCATGATTCCCTTTGACCCCCACAAAAATTCATGATTCCTTCTTGGTAGTAAAACTTCCAAAGTGAAGCTTTATGCCATTGGACTATAGCACATGCATGATATTCCTTACCTTTTTGTTTCATAATCATTTGGAGGCACGAGCAAGATCGCTAAAAACCAGCACCATATAAGACCCAAATAATTGTGAGAAAGTCCAAAAGCTTGGTTTGAGTATGGTACATGGCGTGCCATGCCATTTTCATGCACAAGCAGCTGGCCAAGTCTGCTCCTTTTTCTGTCCCTAACGGATGCTCACAAACAATGCACCCCCAAAATCAGCACTATACTCATTGCCTCACCAATCAGGCACACATCACACACCCCATTTCAAACTTGTTGTACCTTTCCAATTTCATCATCATCATCATTGTGATCCTTCCACCCAATTAGGGCCCTTCACTTAGCTGTATATATTGCCCAAAAGTACGTACGCGCCTAGCAGCATCGATCATGATACTCTGCATGAGTGCCTCTGCCCCCATCAGTCTGCTGAATGGTGAAAATTCAGAAGGATGTGTGTTTTTTTGTTGGGATATGAATGGCCAGTGAGTGCATCAGTTTGGGAAGCATATTCCATGAAACTTTTCATCACAAAAATGACCCTTTAATTGGTCATTAGTTTACATCTTTGTTTACTTTTTCTTTTTTCACCAAGAATAAGGATATTTTTTATCTACATTTGGAAATCAGTTCCTTTTGAGATGTAACAATCATGGAAATCATATTTATCTCTCTCAGCAAACTTTTCTTCCTACGCATAATTTAGGATCCGGTTTCTGAGTATTTCAAGAACTGAATTATCTACCAAAACAGTTATATACATTGTTAGTAACTTAAATAAAATGTGTCTTCTTTTCTCAATTAATAATGTAAATCTTTCTCTATTTTCTGAGAGATTTAGTGTAGTATTTTTTCTGTTGACCAGCATTCAGATTCACGTTGTAATTTATAGAATTTTTCTCACTCTGAATCAACGATTAATGTTTAAAGATTAAGAGATTCATATATAAGACTGTTTCTCACATCAGAAATCTTTTTATATACACAAATCTGATGACAGAACTTCTGAACACCTTCATAAAAAGTAAGATTATCTGTGAATTATGTTACGTTAGAATCATTTGTAAATGTGTCTTGTTATTTCAATTGTTCCATGTTAAATCAGTATGAAAAGTTAGTCCAGTGTACATCCATCCAAACATACCGCAAGTTATGAAATTGAACACATGACATGTATATGTGTATCCCTTCTTCTAAGCATTGAATATGGTGATTTGATTGGCATACCAACGTGGAACACCAAATTTTTTTCGTCTAAGGTGAGATTGTGTGCAACTTTGTACTTGTGTGGTATGGGGTGGCACCATCTGCATCACTACCACTGCAATTATTTTGCTGTGACAATCTTCGGAAGAGGACAACTGGCCCCGGGGGTGGTAAAGTTTGAAGGTTGAATGGCTTCAAAATAAGGTGCAAACATGGTTTGGTATGAATGGGACCCAGCAGAAGTAGGTGTAGGAAAGTTGAAGGAGAGGAAGAAAAAGGTAAGAAAGCTAACAGGAAGAGCATTAAATTTGTCCCTTCCACGAGTAGGACGGGTGTAGCTTAGCCATGGGACTCACTCTCCAAGTCTAAACCTAGACTCAGACCCCCACGTGAAAATGAACTCAAATCACCTCTTCTCCCACCATCCCCTCTCTGCCATATACCTTCTTCAACTGCCCATTAAATGTCACAATAACACTAAAAATTCACAAAATCTAGACATCTTCCCTAATATAATGCCAGTTGTAGCTTCATCATTTTGTTCCTAGCTATCTTTTTTTACAAATTTTTATCTATCATACTTGTCATTGATAATATCTATGAGAATAGGGTCAGGGTGGCATATCAGATATGTAATTCTAAGATAAAATTATTAGATTCCAAACATTTGTTTTAAAAACCTAACTCAGTTTTATTATTTGTTTTCCTAAAAAATATATTAATGATTTAAGAGAAAAAGAAAATAATATATATACATAAATTATTTTTATAACTTTAATTTGTAAAACCATTTTTTAAAAGAATTTTTAGTGAAAATTGTTTAGAATTAAAATGAGTATTTTGTTATAAACTTCACAAATATATTTAAAATTTGATCATAATTATTTATACAAATAAAAAAAATCAATTTTAAACAATTTTTTAAAAATGTTAAGCGACTTGTTAGTTACAATAATTTGATTTATCGATATATTTTATTATTATTTTGTAATTTTTTTTCTTCAAGTTTTCTTCACACATTTTACCATCAATAGTTTCATTTTCTTAAATTTTCACCTATTTATTAATTTTTTAACAGAATAATAGCGTGACACAGAAAATATAGAAAATGACAGTGTTTAACTTTTGCAAAAGAATGTTGTTTCGTATTTTTAACTTTTGTTTTTTTTATAGTCAATGTACTAAGAATTCGACAGATAAAATTTGAGAAAATTGAAAACATCAACAGTAAAATGTGCTAAAAAAGCGAACTTATAGGAAAATTTACTGAACGGTGAAATGTGTTAGAAAGAGTGTCTTAGAATGTGTTAGAAAGTTTTTTAGTTAACTCTTGGCAAAATTCAAAAACAAATGTTTAAAAGAAAAAACAAAAACGCAAATATCAGCATTTAAGTTTGGTCCCAAAAAAAAAAACTCCATCTTTTTGGTGAACCTAGCTAGAGGTGAAATTTGTCCTCCATGATAATTGATAGAGAACTGCATAATATATACTGTTCACTTCTCTTTGGTCTCATTTCCACTGTTATTTAGAAAGTGAAGGTGCACTTTATTACCATGACATTGCACTATCTATTAACATTTATCGCCCTCAATTCTTATGTGAATCTTGTTCATTAAAAACAATATTCAATGTCGGTTTGTCATTACTCATTATGTTGCTGTTGGCATTCATGGAAAGACGATGAAACCAAAGTCATAGCAGACTTCTATCATTGTCCCTGCTTGATAATTAATTTATCAGTTTAGCTCAGTAATCAAGTTAGGATAGAAAATCATTTCAACAAAACAGTTTTATGCTTTCATTTGATCACATATAATCCTTGACTTTTATATCAGAGATACTGACTCAACATGTTCAATGGAATTATGGAAGGTGTTAGAAGTAGTTTCTGAGAATTCTTTCTTTTATGTTAAACGCGAAGAGATGGTACATGGCCCATGTTTTTAAATTCTTCCCAAACACGTACCAAATAATGAAAAGAATTTGATGTGAATTTCCTAAATATATTAATAACTAAAGTTGGTGCAATATGGATCCATGAGTGTGAAAGCGAGTCCACTTAAAATATTAAAAAAGGATAAAGGTACATGTCTCAAACAGTGAAACACAAAGGTAACATGTACAAGGGTCTGTTTCAGATAAAAAAATAATTCAGACAACCCTTTCTCCCTCCCTCCAACATCCCAAAACATTTACAACAATCTATGCCCTTGTTCAAATTTGCATTTTTTTTTGCCATGAAATTCAGCAGAGAAAGGACATTGTTGACACTTCTTACATGCAATTTATTTTGTAAATTTAAAGGAACAATTATAGAAACCTCAGACAGATTGGAACATGTTTGGAATTGTTTAAAATGCCAAATCCTCTTGTGGAAACATGTTTTCAAACACCTCATTAATACAAGTTTGAGAAAAAACCAACCATTCAACCAGATTAAATTTACTGTGGAAACCTAAGTAAGAAGTGGTAAACGTGGTAAATGGTAAAACCAAAGCCAAAACCACACGCAAAGATAAATCAAGTGGTCACGCATTAAATTTCAAAAAGTTCAACACACAATTTAACTAACTCGCAGTCATATTAAATCATTGAACCCTAGTAAATTCTTAACCTAAATGCAACCCAACCACAATACCAAAACCACCCTAACGATCACAATCAACAACCCTTACAAAGTTCAATCCCAGTAATAAAAACCATAGAATACTAGCCTAAGGAAATATTCAAAGCCTACTAAAGTAACATTCATGATGGTCAACGCAAAAACAATCAATAGCCCCACATGCAATCCAACTCGGACGGTACAATCGGCATGCCGGAACCGCCGTCAGCCACCCTCGGATCCTCTGGCGCCGGCCAGTTTGCGACGGCCGTGAAATTTGATACGTCAGCACCGCCGTGAACCACGGGCGGGAAAAAGAAGGGGAGGTTAAGGTTGTCATGCAAGGACCTCAGGCATGGGAAGGCGGAGACTCCAACGTTGCTCCTATGAAAGCGGGAGAAAGGGTCGAGGGGCGGCTCTGGCGGTGGAACGAGGTTGTTGAAGGCGGCAGCGTCGGCGGACATGGTGGAGAAACAGGACACGTGCTCCCTTTGATTGGCGGCGGCGGCAGCGCTGTCGAAGGAGCAGCTTTCACGGTCGTTGAATGTTGCAGCGGCGGCGCTGCTACTGACGGCGTAAGGAGAAGATTCTAGAAGCGGTGGGAGGTAAATGGAAGAGGGTGAACCCGGTTCGGGGCACAGGCTCATGTTGCTGCTTGTGTTTGATGTGCTCATTCTTGTTTTCTTTGCCCCGCCGGTGGCGGCGGCTGACACGGTAGAGCCACCGCCGGTGTTGTTCTTCTGAAACACGCGCGATATCACCCACTCATCCTTCAACATTTCAAAAGATAAAAAATTAGCACTTTGAAAATCAATGAAGATGTACTAGACTAATTAAGAATAATATAAGATTAATGTCTACAAACCCTTTATCTTAATAAAAACTATATAAACCTGTTATAAGAAGATAACTTTTATACAATCATAAAGGATACATTTTTAATAAATTTTATCAAAGTAAAGAACAATGTTTATCTATGAAAAAGTATTAATACTCACAGTCATAAGTTTTATTGGATCAAAAGGTGGTTACAAATGAATTAGTTAAAAAGTGTGATTCTACCGTTTTTGTCTAATAATAAACAAGTAACTGTTTATAGAGTGTAGCAGAATGTTTTAAAAAAGAGTTCAAGAAGCAGGATTCAGGATCTTATGCTTGGTAGCAGCACTGAGGGTAAAAAGTTCGCTAATGATGATGATACAGTGGCTAAGTTGCCGTGCCCTTTTGATGATTATACCTTGTTGTCATCATTTTGATAATAGTTTATATTCCCTATGTAGTGCAGCTTGTCCATGCTAAGGAACATGCCTTTGCACCGGAGGGTAATAACCGTTGGCTAAGAGGTAGGACCACAGCTTTAGAGTAAATGTGAAACTCAGAAACTACATACTATGAAGTCCAATCGTGAACCGTAATTCCAAAACAAAAGGAAGAAAGAAATCATTAAAGCAATACATGAAGTCCTATCAAGGGAAGAAGCAATAGTGTCTCGGTCCATTTTCAGTAGTATGTGTGTGGTGTTAGAGAATGATATTGACGATGATGATGATGATTAATTTGGTTACCTTGGAGCTTCTAGAGAGGTAGTGGTAAGCGAATTTGCCTTCTAAGCGATACTCATGCATGACCCAGTTGCTCTTTTCACCCTTTGGAGCCCTTCCTCTATAGAAAACCAGGGTTTTCTTCATTCCTACGAGGGAACAGGTTTTGGAGCTATATATCTCTCGGTCTTTCCCTGTGGCTTTCCAATAACCAGCCTCTGTGGCCCTATTGGTGCGTAACCCAGTTGGGTACTTTCGGTCGCGAAGGCTATAGAAGTACCATTCCTTCTCACCCATCTTTGCTTTCTCTGCCATGAAAACAACAACAACAAAGTCAGAAACAACATGATCTTAATTAGGTTTTTAGAGTTTTATGTTCAGGTCTAACACAACTCCACAAACTAACTAACAAAATGAAGATTACTTCTTACTTTCATATATTATGGTTGTCTTATTACTACTTCATGCGGGGCTTTCAACGTAAGTTACATGGAAAGAACAAGACATTAAGGCGGTTATGTTTATCAGTTACCAGGAAGCTCCCATGGCTCGCACTTGTTGAGGTCGACTTCAACTATGGCTCGGCCAGTGAAGGAGCTGTCAAGAACCTTCTTGAGGAGGTAGTATGTGATGAGTTCTTCGTCTGTGGGGTGGAAACGGAAGCCCGGAGGTAAATGTGGCTCATTGTTGTTGTCGAGGTGAGGGTGGTGGTGCTGATTGTAGTACACACTATCCATAGGAGCATGCAGAAGAAAATGAAAAAGAAGAAGAACACGAGGAGGTTAATTAACGAGGACAAGAAGATAAGGCAAAGACACAAAGGCAAAGACACAAAGACAAAGAGAGAAAAGGGTGCAATCTTTCTTAAAGAAGGAAAATGATCATTAGAATGGGAATGTTGGATTCAAACACATCATGGCTCTTCATTATATAGGAAATGCTAAGTAACAAGGAAAAGAGAGAGGGTTTATTGCATCGTGGGGTGTGTGGTTTTTGTTTTTTCTTTATCTTTTTTACGAGAGTTTTCCGTGGAGTTGATTTATCGAGTGACAGAGGGAAAAAGGTGAAATCAAAATAACAAAGTGCGTATGGTAAATGATATGATAGGATATGGCATAAAAAAAAGAAATTCTAAGATCTTTCGTACTATCATTTCAATATTTAAATTCATTGTAAAATATGAATTATATAATTAAATTTGTTTACATTTTATTTAAGTATGAGAAAGATTAAAAAAAATATTATAGAAAGAAATGTATATATTATTAAGATTTTATTGAGTAGTGTCCTTTTATTGCTAGGGTCCTTATCATATCCCACAATTCTACAGAGCTAGAGAGAGAAAGAGATGCGTAGGATGGAGTGGTTTCTGAGGCTCTGCTTTGAGTATGCGTGCGTGTGTGAGGAAGTGTGCAGGTATTCCTTTGTCAGTGAGTTACAAGGAGCAGCAGAAAGTAGTTGCATTGTATTGTATGTATGAGAAGTAGAAAACAGTTGTTTATAAAAATAAATAATTACCAACACAAAAACCAAAACTTAATAAAATATTATATATATATATATATATATATATATATATATATATATATATATATATATATATATACTCTGATACACGTAATACCAGTATATATATTTTTAATAATTCATGTTTCTCGATTCTTAAAAAACATAGATATTATAAATATGATATGATAGGAAAATATAGGTGAAAAAAATTATAAATATATGTAGGTGTTTCGCATTTATAATATCAAATGGATTCATTATATTTTAATCACAAACTAATATATATATAGAGAGAGAGAGAGAGAGAAAGAGAAAAATTATTGATATTCATACTAATTATCATAATAACTGTTAAACTTCAATTTAAAAGTTATAAATAATTGGATAAGAGTTGATAATAATTTAGATTGACAGAGTTGTCTGGCTTTATTTCCGCAAATTTTGGTACCCTAAACTTCTCGATCACATATTCCTTTTCAAAGTCTATTCAATCTTTAATTTTCTTCTGTGATACACAGATAATTATTTTGTGTTTGTAGGTGCTTGGTCAATTGTGTACCAGAGTTATGGTATCTCTCTAGCTACAAGTAGATGTTCATTTGGTTTCATCAATGCATATAATTTCGTATTTTCAATTGTCTTTTGCAGTGATTTTGTCACTGCCTACAAAACACTTTTATGCATGATTGAGTACTGTCACCTTTTATGTGATTATATTTTATTCAAATTAAAAGGGTAATCAGAAAAACACAGTTTTAATGTGTAGAAGAGCAAATAAAACTAGTTTAACATATCACATACCAATTAAAAACGTCATTTTTAACAAAAGTAAAATAAAAGTTTATAACTTTGACTTTTAAAAGACCAGAAACAATAGTCCTCTCTCCCACTCTTTTCTGAACAGAACAAAGAAATGATTTCTTAATTTTCTTATGAAATAAATAATAAGGCTTTTAATAAACCTAAATATGACAAAAAAATGATTTATCTCTCTTAGAAGCTTTTTGGAGTTGTTTTTGGCAAAATTGATTCTTAGGGACTAGGGTGGTCATAGGTTTTGCCGACCTTGTTTTTTCATTTTACAGTACTGAAGGTTTTGTCTATTCTTTCTTTATCTCCATTAATATCATTATGGTAAAATTATTGGTAGCTGAAATAACTTACAAAAAAAAAAAAAACTTTGGTATTGTCAAGAAATTTTAATCAGAAATTTTAACAAAATATTCTTTAATGCATCTTTTAGAATATAGTATAGTGAAGAAAATTATACTTGCAAAGACTCTCTCTAAGAGGAAGAGTATAAAATTATTTTTCTTTCTTCTGTTTACTATTTATTCAAATAACATCTTCTTTGAACATGTGTTAATAATTGTAGTAACTTTTATCTTCTCTCATCTTGATTATGGACGATCTTTATCTAAATTACTAGTAATCTGAATTAAATTTCTTTCATCTATCTATGTATCTATCTGGAGACCTACAAGCTTTTGAATTTTAATTTTATAAATTGCTTATTCAAACAAATATTTATTAAGTGCTGTTTTAATTCCCTCTCCTTTTTTGTACTTAGTTTCTACAAAGTCTCTTTGACCGTTGTCATGGTCCTATTCTTTGCTTTTTATAATTGCCTTAGCTTTTAACGCGAGAGGTACTAAATATATACATATATTGTCTTGATTTATAGTTTCAATTGTAATTTTGGTTAATCCATTTCCTAAAATTCGTAATTTTTTTATATAATATATTTTGATTTAAATATTGTGGAACCCGAAGAATTGGTTGATGGTGGAGGGCGAAGTGGCAGCTTTTAGGAGGAGAAAACATTTGGAATGCATTGGCAGAAGAAAACAAATGTTACCGGAAGTGGTTGTTTTGAATCTGAAACCATGAAAGTGAAGCAGAAAGGAAGAGAATATATGGTTGAGGTTGATTTTATTGATTTTACGTTACAAAGGGAGAATCACATGAACAGATGAACGTGGATATTCGATGATTAATTAATCCCACATTATATAATAATATTGGTTTATGGTAAAGACTATTGAAGAGAGAGGATTATAGTGTGTGGACAAATTGATGATATATTTTAAAAAAACAATTAATAAAATTAATTGTAGGAAAAGACAGATATTTGAGGTTTGAGCATTAAAGATGGAGGAGAAGACATGAACACGAATCACGATCACTCACGCATGGCGTCTAATCCAATCCATCGCTATCCATCAGCAATTAACACAAGTGGGTGGGGTGAGTGTGAGAGAGAGAGAGAGAGGGGGGGAGAAGAAAGTGACGTTATAACTAAAACTTTTGCTAAAAACAAGAGGGAAGGTTTTCATTGATGGATGCAATGGCAATTTGACACACCTTGCTCGCATTTTGAGAACACACAAACACACCTTTTACATCAAATCACTCTTCAATCTGCATGCATCTTCATCTCTTCGAAATGACTCCAAAGTCAAAACATAAAATTGTTTAGGATTTGGTGGTTTCTCGAGAGTGATGCTGCTGAATGGAAGATAGAGTGTGTGTGTGTGTGTGTGAATTGAAACAGTGAATCCCCAAAAAAGCAAAAAATTGGGTCCATGATTTAGTGGAACGAGGGTTGGGTTGGGTAAACCATTTCAGGGTTTCTTTCTGCGTCTCTCTGCATGATATCCAAACGTTGCAACCTTTTTCGCTTGGAACTCACGGTTCCTCTGTTACGTCCCTCTCGCCACACCCCTTCGTTTTGCGAACCCAATACGGGTCGACCCGATTACCCATACCCTTCTCTTCCTTCACAAAACGTTAATAACATCTTCAATTTAACATTAAAAATTACAATTTTTTTATTATATTTTTTTAACTAATTAAATATTATATATAATATCAAATTAAACTAATGTAAATTGTACTATATATTACATTATCTAGTATCTTTCTATGGTATAATAATTTTAAAAAAAATTGGCGTTGGATTAAAAATTCCTTTTACTACATCATATATATGAAATTTAATATTAATATAAAATTATTCAATGTCACATTTGTGTGGATTATTAATGTGTACTTATCATAATATACTACAATATGAATGTTTTATGTATTTTTTTTATTATTTTTCATTTTTAATAAATTTTGGTATAAATAATAATTATAATTTATTAGTTAATTGATTCATTTTATTTAATAAAATTTACACTTTTACACACACTCTCTCTCTCTCTATATATATATATATATATAAATATTATCAAAATTAAAGAATTTATAAATCCTGAAAAAAGATAATTTTAAAACTAAAATTTCACAAAACAAAAATTAAGTAAAGACTAAAGTAGCAATTCTAAAAAAAAAACTAATATTTTAAAGTATGAAAATTGAAAAACAAAATATCTAATACATGATTTAATAATATTAGTTTAGTATTTAAAAAGTTATGCGTGACTTCAGAAATAATTATAGTATTAGTTTAAATGTTAAACAGTAATTAATAAAAATTAAAAATGCATTCAATGTTTTGGTGAATTATTTTAAATTTTGTAAATTTTAAAATTAATACAAGACAACACAGAAACTCAATGTGGATAAGAACACACTATCACACGTGATTCATGGAAGTAGACTGAACCGGTTCAATAGATGGACCGGAATGGTTACCGAAACGGGTTGACTTCTTTTTAGAAAAAATAGAATTTTGCACTGAAAAGGGTTTCTATAAATTATCCTGAAATGTTTTTCTTTTATTTAAAGCTAAAAACTGATACTATATTTAATTGTATAAAATGATAAATTTAATCATTTTCTTTTAATTAAGGATTGTCTAATCTCTCCATACATAAATATAAAAAGTTTTATTTAGATAACGAAAGCACTTATTATATGCAAAAATTAAAAATCATTTAATGTTATTTATAATAATATTTTATTATATTCACATACGGTAAAAATATTATTAAATTTTTAAGGAATAAAAATATTATCAACTTCTTCCAATTCTTTTAGTTAAATTCCAAATTTACATAAAAAGAATCCTCCCGCAAAAATTCCTGAAATGTTTGTATTTACATTAAAAAAAAACTACACAAGGAAAGAGAAAATATTGAGAAAAGTGTATTTTTTAATTAAAAAATGAGAGAGAAAAAATGTTAAATTCATATGAAGAATTTTTCTAACTACCCGTTTTTTTTATAAAAATGTTAAATATACTCATTTATTTACTAGTTAATTATGTAAAATCATTTTAATTTGTTGATCGGTAGATCGTTTTAATCTTTTACAACGTAAAAAACTTTAATATTAATAATATATGAAAATTTAAATCTTATAACATGCTATTAATATGATAATAATTCGTTTTAAATCCGCATTAAAAAAGTAATTACCGGAAATAAATATAAGCTAATTAAATAAAATTGATTTTATATAAAAGTAATTTGAATTATTTCAATTCAAAATAAATTAGATTGACCATTCTTTTAATTTATTTTTAATGCCCTTATTTCTATTATTCATTGTAAATAATAATAATAATAAAAACATTTATTGTATCAACAATCTAAATATTTTATTTTCATCCAAAATATAACATTAATAATTTTTTTCTTTCACAGAAACAAGAAGATGAGATAAGAAACAGAAAAAGACAAAGGAAAGCGCGTGGATCGAGAAGACGTGACGAGAGGTTTTGGTCACCTCCGCCGCCCTCCGGCAGCGATATTTGGGAGTTCGCGTAGGACAGTGCAGAGAGATCACAGTTTATAATCAGTAATAATCGTAAGTAATCATAAATATAATATATAATAACATATAAAACATTCATTTTCATTCAATTTTTTAATCAAAGAAAAAATATATTTATATTATATATTTTTTTTATTTCTTAATTATATTTTTATTTTTTAAAAATATAAAAAATATATTTCCTATTTTTTAATTACACAGTTCTTCAAACTTTTTAATTTTTTAAAATTACGAGTGCCGATGTTTAAAAAAATATTATATTTAAAAAAAAGTGTACTCAGACTCATCTTTCGCTAATAATAATAATAATAATAATAATAATAAGAAGTGGGACCCTCTGACGTGTCAGATTATGGGTCGTCCTTTGGTTGGTAGCGTCGCTGAAATGGGTCCATGTGCGCCGTCTGATTCATAGATTGGGTGGCTACTGCTATGTTTATGCTTATGTAACTGATTATAGTAGTTGTACTAATAATGTACCTTCATTAATCTCAACACATTTTTCAAACCAAAACTAAGTGAAATTAAAAAAACATGACATTTTTCTAATATGTAATAATAATATACTATTCTTTTATTTCATCACTTGTAATATGTAAGATAACATTAATGTTACATTACATATTATCATGTTAAGATTTTGATTATTATGATAAAAAAAATTATTATCTACAAAATATTACCTACAGATAAAAATATGTAGGTAAACGATACATTATCTATAAATATTACTTACGAAATTTTATTCGTGGATAATTATTCATTATCTACGGATATTATTCATAATTAATGTTATATGTGAGCAATTCCTTTCGTAACACTTTACCTCTAAAGGAAGTCGAATCCCCTGCCTCTCTGCCTCCTTGAAAGAGATGTCCTGAACCACTAGATGATGGGGGCATACTTGTCCGACCACCATTATACTATGTTCATAGTATGAACAATTTTTCAAAATTGTCAATATAATGATTCGATAAAAAAATATCTTTCGCTCTTTTAAAATTCTATAGAAATTTTTTATTAATCATTTAGATTTCGAAATGGTTTTTTTGAATTCCAATCATAATAAGAAAAAAATAAATAATGTTCAAATAAAGAGAAAATTCTCTACGGGAATGATTGATTTGTTGGAAAGATGAGAGGTTAAAAATTCATTTCTGAATATTCGATGAAATATTTGAATTTGTGAGTACATTTATATATCAATTTTTTTATTATATTCTATTTACTAGGTAAATCTAATTTTTTGTTCTTTGATGAGTCATTATAGTAATTACGTAAGTAAATTATATTAAATAAAAAGAATTGTCACTGACTGAAATCGAACCCAGTACCTTAAAATTAAAAATTGATACTCCAACCACTAAACTAATAAGATATTATAATAATAACTTACAAATAAATTATATTTATATTTATTTGTGTAAATATATAAATATAAAATATATAGATATATAGATAAATAGATATATAGATATATAAATATATAAATATATAAATATATCAAAATATAAATATATTTGTATTTATATATTTTATATTTATATATTTTATATTTATATATTTACACGGATAAATATAAATATAATTTATTTGTAAGTTATTATCAAAATATCCTAATAACTTAGTGGTTGGAGTATTAATTTCTAATTATAGTATGAGATATTGGGTTCAATTCTACTAATGATAATTTTCTTCGAGATAATAATTCAAAAGTTCTAAAAATATAATAAACTTTTTTTTGTAGTGTAATATTTATCTGAGTTATTTTATTTGTTACAAATATTTTTTTATTAATGATTTTTAAAGTAACTTGTAATATTTTTGAGAATTATTTAAAGTAAATTTTTTAAATGTTAAATTTTAATTATTTTATATATAATCTTTATTTTTTTCCCTTAGATTTTCATTATACTTCTTTTATTATTTTTATGTGTATAAGTTATGATTTTTTTTCATGATTTAATTTAACCTCTGTGCTATTTTCGTTACTTATTATATTACCTAAATATGTTTTAATCGTAAAATATGCTTAAATATATGCTAATTTATTTTACTTTAAACTTAGTTTAAGAGAAGGTTCATTGTAAATATTTAGTGAGAGTTGTATCATATATATTTTTTTTAATGATCTTTAGTGCCATTTTTAATGTATATTTTAATAATTAATCTTATCTTTAATTTTACATTTAATATTGGGTTAAGTTTGGAGAAATTCATCGCTCATTCCAATAAAAATCTATGTTGAATAAAGTTATTTTTATATTTTTATTAATCTAAGTTCAACTTAAATAGTCTTTGATAGAGTTGAATTGCATTAATTAAGAAAATTGAGCCACAAATGTTATCTTTGAACATTTAAAAAAAAAAATTTTAAGAATGTTATTTTAAACTTATATAAAGGACTAATGATCTAATTTATTTATATTAGATTAAATAATTGGATTATTTATGTAAATATATATTTTTTCAATAAGATAGAAAAATTTGAATAATAATATTGTTTGACTATAGTTTTAGTAGAATTTAATTTTTTAATTGTTTTCAATTTTAAATTTATCCTTTTTCTTATATTCTCATACAATTTATCTATAAAGCATGGTTGCCACTAAGAGTTTATTTGGACAAACTTGTAAAGATTTATTGGAGAAAAAAGTTAAGGAAAGAAATATGTTTTTCCATAACTTTAAATTAGTTTATGGATAAGTTAAAAAAAATAAAATTAAAGAAGTTAATACAAGGATCGTCATGATGTTGAGAATTTGAATATGGTGAATAAGAGAAAGTGACATCTTCTAGTAAATGTGGAACCTATTTATAAAACAAGAAGAAAATATGGAGTGGACGGAGAAAGTATGAGTGTGTAGGAATAAGATACAGTGTGAAGAATATTATTGCCTCTTAATTATGTTGCAATATGTCTAATGAGATTGTATGCTATATATATTGAAATACAATCTGCAAATTCTCGTGTTTAGTAGTGAAAGGCCAGCATTTGTATAGTAATTTTATTTATTTATGGATTCACAAATGCTTTTACAATTTTCTTGCATGCCTTTGACAGAAAGATTTTATCCTTCTCATACCCTCTCTAAGAGCAGATGGATCAGCAGCGAAGGTTATACGAAGCCAATCTTTTAGCCCTACTGCAGTTCCTGCAAAATATTGATGCTTCTTTTTGTTAATTTCACTATACCAAGTTTGTTTCAGTCATGCCAAACAATTGATGCTTAGTTTTAAGATGACAGAACCATCAGGTAGACATGTTTCAACTGATGCAAATTTTAAAACACATTATTCTAATTATCATGAAGAAAAATAAAATTGTAGTGCCAAAGAGAAATTCTTTACTGCTGTTCTCTTTTATTTTTTTTCAGTGTTTAGTCAACCTTATTATAAAAATTATTTTAGTCTTCGACAAAAAAATTAGGTGGATGTGTGGTGTTAGGGGTGGCATGGCTGAGGACCTTGGAGAAGGTCCTCAAGTGTCAGTTTTCAGAATTCATCCTTGTCCTTCCAGCAGAAGATAGTGAATAAAACAGGTGATATAATAGAGGGTATAAAATGAAAAGGCATGAAGCTAAGACTAATACATGCTTTTATTTTCCTGTGAAATGACTCTCCAAATAGGAGATGCAGGATTTGCAAGAGTACCTGGAAGAATGATTACAGACTCCTCCTTTGCAAGTTTGAAACAGAAGTCTATATCATCACTAATATCTTCTAGAAGTGAAAGGTTTAGTTTCACCTGCAGTTCATTCAAGAACAAATAATTATGAATCCCCCTATTAAGACATTTTTTCTCTTCTCAAAGAACCACAATTGTGATAAATCCTTAGTTTCTCACCATCATAGCCATGGACCCTTCTGGTTTGTAAGGGCAAAAAATGCCTGGAATATCCTTTATCTCTGTGCAACATATATCTGCAGTATGCCTCAAATTGTCAATGGTTTTATTGAAGAAAATCTCTTCAGTATTTGCAATTATCTGAGGTACAGCTGCCTGTCAAACCAGAAACGTCACCAATTAGGTAGAATAAATAAGTAACGGATGAAGCATGTCATGTAAGAAAATTCTGCTTAACCAAGAATTTCAGATAAAATGGTAACATATATCAGCACCAAACCAAATAATTTGGAATTGATTACAGAGCTATCCGCAACACGTGAATACTAGTCTAGTCTTTTTGTCGGTGAAAACATGTCACTTCAAGAATGCTTCAGTCTATAGATAAATCTAGACCAGAATGTAACATTTGTTTTTCATACTTCTCTATTTAAGCTCATGAAAATTTTGTGTTTAATCTTTATTTTTCTTTCATTGTTTTATATTTTTATTTTGCTTTTCAAGTGGCAGTATCAAAGCTTTAAATGAAATTGCTTTTGCTTTGAATTTTTAGAATGGTCATATACCCTAATACACTTGGCAATATAATATTTAATATGTTCCTTTTACTATTACTTTGTTATTATATATTTATCTTTTATTCCAAATAATCTAAACTTTCGTTAATTGTTGTTAGCCAAACCATAGAAGCCATGCATCCATTTATGTTTGGGAAAAAAGTATGCAAGATAAAATTAGAAAACCTGGATGAAGGTGGTTGGACCTCCCAAAAGATCAAAATACTTTTTAATGCGCTCAACTACCTGCATAGGAAACATATGATTTATAAAATCACATAAATATGATTGACTAATATGATGAAACTTTTACAATTAGAAGTAGCAGCAAATACCAGTCAAGTATTGAAACTTAAATGTAGATTAGTACTAAAAAATGAAGCAAACCAAATTGGAAATAATTGAAGGTAGAGTTCAACATAAATATAATAAATCTCTACATAGATTGGGAACCATCAACAAACATACTGAAAAAATGTTCATTCCCATCTCTAAGAACGTTAATCATTGATCAGTAATAAGATCAGTCAAGGATCTTCACGGATTAACTAATAGATTTCTAACTGAAGTATGATCATGCGAGTACCATGGGATCAATGATCCAAGATTCAAGATGAAAATATAAAATGATTAAAAATTGAGTTAAAATGGGAAGACTAGAACCTTTGGTTCTCTAAAAGTGCCAGACGGATCATTTGTCACAAACCAACCAAGTCTCCATCCAGGAACTATCCATCTCTTAGACAGTGAGCCAAGAGTGAGAACAGGAATAATTGAGCCAAAAACTCCCATTGGCACAAAAGGCTTGCCCCCAAATGCAAGGTGACCATAAACTTCATCAGAAATCACAATTGTTCCAACCCGTTTTGCAGTTTCAGCTATCTAAGTCATAAAAAATTCAACAACTCCAGTTAATGCTGTAAACTTTCAAAAACTTATGGTCTCATTAACTATTATGTAGTCATATCTTAGGCAACTAAGAGCTGACCTTTTCCAAATGATGGTAACTGTACACATTCCCACAAGGATTCCCAGGATTTATGATCACCAAGGCAACAGTGTTCTGATCAGCACGAGCTTCAACACCATCTAGATCAACCTCCCAACCTTTCTCTGGAAGCAGATCGTAATGCCTCACTTCAACCCCTCTAAATGCAGCACTAAGTTCATAGATTGGGAAGCCTGGTCTTGGAATCAAGATGTTTGCACCGGGGCGAGCAAGCATGGCCACTGAAACATCAATGGCTTGTGTGCATCCAGAAGTGATGAAAACATCATCACTTGATAATTGGTAAGGAAGGTCACGAGATAGATATTCAGCAATCGCTCTGCCACCAACATGAAAGTAACTTTAGACGGTCTCAATTTTACAATAAGATATTATAAATATAGATTGATGAAACAACACAAATAACCAATTGTCCAACTGTGACTTTGAGATACCAGATTACCTTTCTCACAGGTCTTTGTTTCTTAGTTACTAATAGAATTGCATAGGAACTGGAGAAAAAAAAAATATCCATTGAAGCAAAATTGTTGCGCATGCTTATGCGAATAGTACTATGAAAACCATGTTGAATGAAACTGATCCTGGTCCCAATTGGAGTCGCTATTTTCAGTAGAGTCAGCTTGAAATATTATTCAATAATTAGATAAATTGTTGAAAAGATAGTCTCAGGTATTGTATATGCTGATATTTCGTTTATAAATTCCATCACCTACCAACTCCACCCCACATGAAGAAAATCCAAACAGATCACTTGGCGACAGAAGAAACGAGAAAAAAGGGGGAACAACAAAGAACAAAATCCGAAATAGGCTAATATCATCTAGTGTAATAGTACCCGAAAACAATTAGCATAAAGTTACCGAACCCAATGACCAAATGCAAAATCCATAAAGAAAACGCCAAGTTAAGAACAAATGCCATACAATTTCACACTGGACAGAAATTGATGCAAACCTGAAAACAGTGAGCCAGAGTCAGAGCTTACCCAAATGAACATCAATATCGACAAAACTTGAAAAAGAATCAAACTCCAAAAATAGACTAATTAATAACATGTTTAGACAAACTTCTTCCCAAAAAAGGAAAAATAAGAATGAATGAAATGAAATTCTCCCTAAATTGAAATTAACTTATATATAAACTAATTTACAAAAGATTTCGCGTATAACTTCTTATTTTTTAACTTGTGTTAAAGGTAACTTTATCTTATGCTTTGGAGATGGTTGCATGTAAATTTCCGACAAGCTAAGTTAAGATTCTCTGAAAAGTAAACAACAACAAGACCAAACAAAATTCAAATTCCAAAGAGACATTAATGGGGTGACCAAAGTTCTTCAAAGACCAATAAAGTTGCATACGAGTTTCGGACAACCAAATTCAATATTCTCTCAAAAATAGCAACAGGGCAAGAATGAAAAGGTTGAAATTCCAAAGAGAGAGGCAAAGAAGTATAGCATTACTTTCTAGCCTGGGGAAGCCCAGCAGTGGGAGCATAGCCATGAAACTTGTGAGAGTGAAGAGTGTCAGCAACAGCATCTTCAACAACCTTAGGAGTGTGAAATAATGTGGTGAGAGTTGGGTCACCCATGCCCAGAGAAATAACTCTCTTGCTTCCACCATCCAAATTCCCATCAATGTTTTCCTTTAGAAGACTGAGAATGCCCTTAATGGTGATGGTGGAAGTTGCTCTGGCTTCATTGTGGTTGCTGATGGTGGTGCTGTTGTTGTTCATAGCCACAGCCCCACTTTCCATACTTTGGATGGACTCTCTCTGTACCCTCTGCCTTATTCAGAGTTGAAAAGGCCAAGTGGAGAATTCTGAGTTTGGTTTCCCCAACACCACACGTTATGCTGTTTTCTGCTTATGGAAATGAAGGTTTTTGGCGGTTTATATAGTTGCGTGACTCTCGTACAAACACTGTTACGTGTCAAATAATACATTAATGTTTTTGTCTAGCAAATTCTGTGGAAGCAACCTAATCATCTTGGCTAACATGTGAACCTGACATTATTATCACTTATTTTGACTACACTAATGTTGTAAATAGTTTAATTTGATTTTACATATTTTACTACCCAATTATATTTTTTCAAAAATATATTTCTCTTATGTATTTCTTTTATGAAGAAAAATAAGGAAACTCTTGTATTGTTTAGTCTTGCGATTTTTTTTTAATTTGATTTTGATCATTAAAAAAATAAGATAAATATTCATTTTCATTTTTTTAATGTGTCCATCGGCCTCAATTGAATATTTGAAAGAACCAAAAAATTTATATATGTAAAAATTAAAAAATAAATAAATCTATATTTTATTGTTTAAAATTTGAACTAATTTTTGATATCTTAATATTTTCTTTACAAAATTACTGATTTTAGTTTAAAACCATTATCTAAAATTGATAAGAGGAATCTCCCAGCACGATGACTGAAAGAATTTCTAGGTATTCTAATATTCAAAAGGATAATTTGAAAGAATTATTATTCTTTCGTTGGGTCACGTTATTACTTAAGTGCTGGCATATGAGTGTTATGCAATTATAAACTCTGCTATTATGAGATTCTTAAAATGAAAATGCTGAAAAAAAAAATAATTTTGAATTGTTTTAAAAAATATATATATGAAAAAAATAGTAGTATTTTATTATTTTTAATAAGTTGCCGTAAATTTATTAAATTATACATAACATTAATTTAAAACCATGAATATTTTGCAATTTTAAAACAAATTCGTTATCATCCAAGACATGGTCTTAACTCGTCGCTGAAGAAAAAAAAATTTCAACAATTATATCAAAGTTAATTTATGCGATAAAAATAATTTTTTTAATTTTAGCAATATTATTTATAAAAATAATATTACTTAAATAAATGAGAAAAAGTTAAATAAAAAAATTATTTCACAATTTTTTCCTCGATATTTTCACCAATCATCGTTCAAATTTTATTTTGAAGATGCTATTTTTTTTACCTTTTAATAGTCCAAAAAATCAAATAATTGTTTATTTTATTATTATTACTGTTATCCTTTGTATTTAAAATTTTAAAAATAAAAAAGTTTAAATTTTTATCATATCCAAAATTTAAAAATATTAAACTTTTATTTTTTTATAAATAAATTATTTTAGAATATTGGAAATCAGTATATATTATAAATAATATTTATTTATAAATATTATTATCCCATTATAATTGGACTATGGTGAAGATATTTGACAACATTTTGAATAAAAAATAACAAGAACGAGTACATATTTATTGTTATAAACAATTTCTAATATTTATTTTTAATTTTTGTTATTTATTTTTATGATGTAATTTATTTATTTTTAGTAAACACTATTTATATAAGTATAAAAATAAATATATGAATTTTTTAAATAATTTTTATATTAAAATATTATATTAAATTAATTTTAAATTGAAAAAAAGTGAAATGTAAATAAAAATATATAAAAATTATTATTGGAACAAAACTTATAAAATTTAGCATGACTTAGATTAAAAGTAACATGACATAATATATTTCATTGAGAGTGAGAATGTACTGTCTGGAGAAATACTCTACTTCTTTCTTTTCTTTTTAATAAAATTGCTGATAAGTGATGGACTTTTAACATGTATTATTTTCAAGATAAATATATATAATAATTATTTTTAAAATATTTTTTTATAATTAACATTATATTAGAGATAAAATAAATTTTATTTTTCATTGATGTTTTTATAGTAACCAATCTACAAAATATTTATATATATCTAAATGTATTAAATACGGATAGGTAACAAAATTAATTTTTTTTAGTTATCTTTTGATTTAAAACCTCTTATTTTAGATTAACTAATTTACTATATTAAGAGAAAGGGAGATATAAAAGTAGAGCAAAAATCACTTATGGTCTTATTGTTAATGAAATTGCTAGATTGAGATAAGTAAGATTGTAGAACACCAAATTATTATTACTATTAAAATACCAAATTATGAATTTGGAGGAGTATTTTAGGGTAAACGAACGAAGAAGATGAATGAAGTGTATGGAGCGTGTACCTTCCGTGTGCACGGGGTGATTCGAAGCAAGAAATTGGAACTCTTGTCTTGTTGTTTTGTGTGTGTGTTGAGTGCTTTTTCTTCAAAAACGATGGGTTTGATTCATCAAGTCCACTACACAAAAATGGATTTATAGGATTTTGTTGGCTTAGTTGTGAGTTTTGTTTTGGGTGTTCCAACACGGAACGTAAACAAAATTCAGTGCAACCTTTTAACTCTCAGAACTCTCATTGATAAGTTCGATGATTCACCACGTCGTGTCTAATGCATGACGTTGGCCTCGTACGAAAGAGATAAATCACATGCTGCAATTTTGCACTATGTTCAACCAGATACAGCACAACTCGTCCTTATCATTCAAAATTTGACCTAACTCCGATTATATATATTTATTAGGGATGGAAAAAGGGGCTAACCCGTCCCGTTTTGGCCCGTTCTGCCTTTGGTCCACCAAAAGTGGGATGGAACGAGCTGGTCTGATATAGTCACGACGGGTTGTAGGTCTTGATTCGTCACTGTCAAGAGGTGGGTTGGTGGGTTGACTGATTGGCCTACATAATTTAAAAAAAAATAATTTATTTTTTAAAATAATTTTTTTAATAAATTTAATAATAAGATTATTATTTGTTTGTCAATAATTTAATATATATATATATATATATATTATTTTAATTTAATAATATAAATCAATATATTATTTTAAGAAATTATAATTTAGAACAATAATAAAATTTACATAATAATAAATAATAACAAATATATATATATATATATATAACATTAAAACTTATAAAATTTATATTTTTTACATTGAAAAATTCAAATATCTATATCTTTTTTATTTGATAAAACTTCACATTATTCTTGGTTGAGTAATTCTTACACCTTTAATTCAAGTCATAAGAATAAAAATAATCGAGTGTTTAAGATGAACAAGGAGAACAGGGGAGAAAATTATGTTTCGATAAGGAAAATATTTTATGTGAGAGTGAAACTTTTTTAATTCTCTTTTTAAAATTTGTAACTTTATATATTATCTTTATAATTAATTTTTATTATAATAAAAATTTATTTTTTTATTAATTAAGCGGGTCATGTGTGGCTCGTCCCATCCTACGGGTTGGCGGGACAGATTAAAGCGGGTTGGTGAAGCTGAACACATCAGCCCATTATCTGAGCTGTAGCTGACCATCGGATCGATCTGTTTTGCCATCCCTAATATTTATTATAATATTACGCATATATAGTTAAAAAGTTATGGGATAGGGATGCACTTGGGAGCTACCTGTCCTTCTCTTTTCTGTCTTTATCATATTATTTTCATTTTTTTTATTATTTACACTCAAATTCAGATTATAAACAGATATATAAAAATAGGTTTAATTTAATTAATTAATCCAAATAATTTGAAAAACAATTTATTAAGAGAGAAAATGATTAAAACAATTTTGTCCTTAACTCTAAATAATATAAAAATTTAAAAAATGCAAAATAAAATTTTGTATTTTGTATGGATTGTAAAATGGACCACCCTCAAAGATGGTTCACCGTTTGGTAGCTATCATAGGTTAATCTCTTGTTGGTATTAATGGTGCGCCTTCTATATATTCTTTCTTTATCTCCATTTTTTTGTCATTTCAAATCTGTAACAGACAATTTTTTATAACAGTTTCAGTTTTTCTCTCTTCTCTTTTCTTCTCCCATCATCATTTCAGCATTTTATATTGTTTCGTTTTCGCTACCACGTGCAAGCTTTAACTCACGTACCATATGTTTGATGATTGTATATATTATGCATTAAAAAGATATGGGATGCTCGTGGTTGCTAGCTAGCATTCATATTTGTCTTTTATATTTTCAAGCAACTACCAATCAATTATCCAAACCATTCAATATTAAATTATTCAAAATTTAAATATTTTTATCAAATTAATCCTTAGTTTGTTTCATCTACACGGTAGTTTATATTTTCTTTTAAACCACCAATTTTATCACGTCATATGTTACCATAGGAGTCAGTCACAAGCTAAAATAAAAATAGAAAAATATGTTTCAAATAATCTATTTTAGGTTTTATTAATCTCTTTTTTTATTTTTCTTATTAAGTTTTGATACGTTTATGAGTTTTACTTCGTCTAAATATTGAGATTAAATGTATTTTATATATTTTTTTCTTTCAATCTACTAAAATACATTTTAAGATAAGATTGTAGTGGACAATAACTCCACAATAAATAACCTAAATAATCTTCTAAAATTTTCTAATATATATATATATATATACATTTATCATTATATTTTATCTTAAAACTTAATTATTATTATATATTTACAAATTTCATCTTTTATCTGTTAAGTAAACTAATAATTAAATATGATCTTCAATCTAACGATCAAATAGAAAGTAATCTCATACTCATAAACATGTTGTAAACTAAATACGAAAGCGTACCTGAATTAGTCATAATGATGATGTCCCTTTTAGAGCACTATTGATCTTATGGTCTTCCACCTGAAGAGCACCTGTATTTCCCTCTTGGTTTTCTCTCTTGATGGGGATAGAAAGAAAAGAACGGGATTGTAACTACGTTCTGTTTACGTGCTCCCAGAAGGGGACCATGGCCCCTTAAAATAACCAAAATTAGGTTAATTACTTAAGTTTTAGTATTTCCAATTTGACCTCTCATCAAATTAGAAATTACTCT